TATATATAGACTTCCCGTATGAGGGAATGATTTATCGCGTTGATATCGCTGTTTGCATTGTACTTTTGCTGCTTCTTGTGTCAGCTTTATGTTCCTACTTGTATATTGTATTTATTTTTTATCGACTTTAATTCTGCGAATTTGATAGACAAAGAAATCAAGAATAAAAATGAAGTCTAGGCATATACATATGTATTTAATATATATACAGATTCATATACATAAATATATATCTGTAATTGCACGTACAAATTGCGATGCCCCCCCCGTGTTGCGTGTGTCTTTCTTAATTTTAGCTTGCCTTTTTTTTTTATCGATTCTGATAGTGATTCTAGTACAACAAAAGCCAGCCCCCATATCAAATCATATCGTATCGGATCGTATCGTATCATATATAAAAGAGGTGTCGTCTAGTCCTCGTCTCCTATTCCCCCCCCTATTCCGCTGTCTGTTTTGTTTGTTTGCCTACTCAGATATCGAACATGGAACCATGGAACCAGTCGGGGGGAATATCTCTTGGGGCTATCTCTTGAAATGAAATTGTAATGACAAGGGACAGATAGGGTGGGGATAGATACGATAGATATGAGAACCTCCAGTATGAAAGGAGAGAGCAGAAGAGGAGTGTTCTCGCAATGCCCTTCATTGCTATTCTTTGAATCTCTCTGCCAGGAGAGCACCAAAGAAAATTGCAGAAAGTTAGTAGTAGTTAAAATAAATAGTAGTAATACGATTTAGAACCTATGTATTTTCCGTTCTTAAAATCACTTTTTAAAAATATGATACCATCTCTTCTCTGGCCATGGAAATATTTACGGTGGCGTTTCAGTCCATTGATATACGATTCTGATTAGAGCAGGAGTAGCTCTTGCCCTTAGTAATCCCCCACACAAATTATTCCCCACATACATAACTGATACAACAGATCTTTTGTTCTAATCTTATCGAATTCGATTGGAATTTCTTGGAACGTTAACGGTCATTTCCTTTTCTTTTTATGAATGGACTCAAAAAGTAGACAAACAAACCAAAAAAAAGTATAACAAAAATATAGAAAAATTATATGTAAAAAATAAAAAATTAGTAGTATAAAACAAAGAAAAAAATATTTAAAAAATGTAAACATAAAAAATAAACAAAAATGTATGAAAAAATATATTTAAATTAAAAATAAAAAAAGGATTAATTTGAATCAAATTACTATGTTTTTTTTTAGTCGCACCAATGGTACAGGTGGCTGGCACATTTTCCATGCATTGGATGCATTTTGAGCTTTGTTCTTGTGTTGTTTTTGACCCCATCTGGCTCTCAAACGAGAGCGCCACTCAAATGAGGAGAGAGAGAGAGGCGCAGCTGCAATCTGATTGATCCGTGCCTCTGATCCACAGATTATTCTTATTTCCATTAGCCCCCCCACCCGATTAATACGCTGTTATTGTTTCTTTCTCCCTTTTGTTTTTTGTTTTAATTCTCATTTAATCTCGTTTCGGTTTCGGATTGTTGCTTTTGTGACGCCCCCCAAACAAAAAGAAAACAACTTTGATTGATGTAATTCTCCGGATCTCTCTCTCTCTCTCCCTCTCTGCCTGTTCCTGTTCCTCTTTCTCTACTGCTGTACCGTTCTGTACTTTTACCGTTCGTTTGCTCATTACACGCATGTTCTACCTTTATTCGCTCTCTTCGGCTGGCCCTGCTGCTTCAATCTTCCATGCCATACGGGCGATACGGTTTTCGTTTTATGCTTTTGGGCTTCTTCTTTGTTTCATTTTATTTTTGTATACCCTGTACTTTTGGAGAGCAAATGATTTCGAGGGATGATGTGTTGATCTTAGAATTAAATTAAAATCAAATCAATAAATTTAATTTAAATATTCTTAGCACCAATTTAATATATTTCATTTTTAAATTATATGTTTCTAATACTTATTTTTAAAATGTTTTATATTTACATATATTAAATATGCGTCGCACTTAAAATGCTTTTTAATACATTTAAAATTAAATAAAAGCTATCGTATCTGATCTCTTATAGGTATTATATGTACATAGGTATCCTATAGTCGGTAAACACTGTTCCCTTTCTGCTACTCGTCCAAACGAGTAGTGCAAAACAATCAATTTAATTGTGTTATCAACGAAAGACCAGCAAAAGAAAGAACTCAAAAGCAAACAACAAAACACTAGAAAAGCTGTTAAGTATAGTCGTCAATAAAAAAAAAGAAAAAAAGCTGGGCAACTGATTCCTCTGTTTGTTTTGTTTGTCGTGATATCATATTATTATATTAAGCGGAAGAACAATCAATGTCCATGCCTTTCAAAGAAGTAGTGCCTATTGCCAGAAACCATTCCTTATATTTTTCTTCAGAAAATGTGTGTAAAATGAACGCATAAAGATTGATTTTAAGTGCAAATATTGTTGCAGCATCGATATGCTTCCTCATGTTAGTGGGAACTTTTGTCCAGTGAATAACTGAATAATTCGGAGAATTTATTCCCCTTCCTATTCGTCTCAGAAAGCATTCGACCCCCGTTCTCCATTTCCAATTTGTTTTAACTTTATTTTCGCAATCTCTAAAGTACTCCCATCGCTCCCACATGATGCAGATGCACATTGATGCTCGACTCGAGACGCACAAGCGAATGCTGCACAAGAGAATGCCCAAGAATTTTTCTATTGTGTTGTTTAATTCCTGGGATATTGTGGGGAGTGCCAGTTATGATGGGGGAGTACTATACCTCGTTCAACCTTCAAAACGTCTATCGCATTTCAATTTGCTGATAATTCTGATATATAGGTCGTTATATGATGTTGTTTTTTTATTTGACAGCGTCAAACAAAACAGAAGCCGCCACAGAAACTCATGTTTTCTGTTTTTAATGATTTTGCCATTCTGTTTTTCAGTTTTACGCGAAGATTATCTGTGCTGCTGTTTGGTCTGCCTGTCTGTCTGCCTCTCTCTCTCTCCGTCTCTGTTTATAAGTACGATCGTATATCTATTGCCTTGAATGACTTGTGACACACTTGAGAGCCGCAAAAACCACTTTGACAATTGCAATTACCAGTAAAAATGGGGAATGGGGCAATTATAGAGTGTATCTCTGTATCTCTCTATCTGTATCTGTATCCGAACAATCGCTCTGTTGCTCGTAATTACATATGTTTTAGCTCTCAAATTATTATTGTCTGTCTGTCTGGCTGTGTGGCTGTCTGTCTGTCGTGTGCGGTTTCTCGTTGTTTAATTACGAGATAAAGTGGTAAAAAAAAAATACTGAAAAAGCAATTGAAGAAATATATATAAAAACAAATCTTTAAATTAGCAGGAAATCAAACACAGACAGAGGAGAGGACAGGGAGAGAGATAGAGAGATGGTTATAAATCCTTAAGCAAGTCAAGGACGCTTGACCCCTTCACTGGGGCAGCGCAGAGCAGGGCCTTTGACCTTATCGCTTGGCCAATTAAATGGAACTCCCAGGGGTGCCATGGGGTCACAGACCGAACAGAATAAGCCAGCACAAAAATAGCCACACCAGGGGGTGGCAGCATTGGAACTATGAGAAAAGAATTCAACTGCATAATTATGTGGTTGAAAAACTCCAGTAAAAAAATTATTTTGAATGGAATGAGCAATGGGGAATATTTACTCCCCAATCCCAAATCTGCACACAGCAGAGCGGTTTTCAATATGCATGGTGAAAACAAATGCAAATATTTCAACATACTTTAAGTCAAATACAATTCATTAAAAACTATTGAACTTTGCAGACATTTTTTTGTTTTTTTTTTTTTATATACTTAAAACGAAAACTATTTTTATTGGCTTTTCATCTCCATGTTGATGATCTCCCGCTGCATTTTACTGTCAATGACATTCACTGGGGGAGTACACCTAGACCCGCCCCGCCGAACGGGAGGGGGTATTAACCCTTTCTTGCCACAGCTGTGTGTTGTTTTGGCCTTTAAGCTTTTTAAGCCACAAAAACACAAACATAAAAAAAGTTGCTGTATTTTTATTTCTATTACATTTTTCATTTTCATTTCTTTTGGCTTGAAAGTTTTACTCGTTTGGGTTTTTTTTTGTGGCGGCCACAAACCCTGTGGCCTGACCGCCACCGTATATCGTCATTATATCATGGATCATTATGATCATCCCATATGTCCGATTACAGTTAGTTGAGTGCTTTTTAACAGCTTTTTATGGAACTGGAAAACAAAACAAAAGCTCGAAAAAAAATACAAAAACCTTTTACAGCTTTAATTACATAAAAAAAAAAAAATACAGCCTCAGCCATAACTTGCGTATGATCCGTGTGTCTGCTGGACATTGACCGTCAAATCGGTGGCGAGCAGATGGGTGGGTAGGGGAGGGGCGGCAGCTGAAAAGTGTTCCAGCAGCAGGCACGCCCCGTCGCATTTGCCACACCAGTGCCAGTCTCCTCCTCGCCAGACAATCGCATGACACAGACACAGAAACCGCCCCCCAAAAACTAAACATTTTTGTTTTCTAGGGTTTACTGATCTCTCACTTATTTTTTATTATTTTTTTTTTTTTTTGGTTGGTAGGTAATACTTACCACATGACATTTTGGGCTTTTAAGTGGGATTTTCCAGCAGCATTATTATAGGTTTGCTTCAGCAGTTTCTTTTGAATTATTGAGTTCCATTTCTGTTTTTTCTGGAGGTATCTTTTTTTTTATCTAAAATTTGTACCATTGTATTTATTACATTACAATAGATCTTCCATATTTATTTATTTGTTAATCACAAAATTACATTAATTACTATTTTCAGATCCGACTAAACCATTGGGGATCCATGGGATAAGCAATGCAAAAAATTATTCTAGGGAAAGTAAATATGATAATATGCAGCGCTACGATGGGCCTCGTGGCGCCAAACCGCCGTTTATTTGCAACGGATCTCAGACGCTAAAAGCCAAAGAGGAAGAAAGGAAGGAAGAATAATAATAGTAGGAGCAGCGCCAGTGGCAGCGGTGGGCCAGGGCCAGGGCCAATATACCCCTCCCACCCACAAATGAGGAGGGTTGGCAACGACGGGCCAACAACAGGTTGAGGAGCAGCACCTAAGCAAAAGCGCACAACAAATCAAAAGCAAATGCCAGAGCAAAAGCAACAGCAGAAAGAAGCAGCAAAATAAAACAGAGAAAATCACCAAAACCGCAGAAACAGCCAAGCAGAGGCCAGCCTAAAGAGAGCGGCAGACCGACCGACCGACCGGGCAGGCAGCCGTGAGAGTAAAAGAGGGAAGAGAGAAATCCAATCAACAAAAAAGAAAAACAAAAACCAAACGCAATCGCAGCAGCAGCAGAAGCAGAAGCAAAATGTTACAAAACTCGAACGCAGCTGCAGCGGCACAGGCAGCGGCGCAGGCTGCGTCGGCGGTGGCCACACCATCGACTGCAGCAGCAGCAGCAGCGGCGGCGGCGGCTAATAATGCCGCAATTGCCGCCTCATCCATACAGCCGAAGCTGATTGTCATACGAAGGCGTCCGAATCAGGGCTTCGGCTTTACGCTGCGTCACTTTATTGCCTATCCACCGGAAGATGATGCCAACGCAGCGGCGGCGGCGGCGGCAGCGTCAGCCGGCGTCACCAGCTGGTCACAGGTGAGAAACAACGGGGTTGGAAAAGGGGGGAAATCAGACCTTGCGAAAGGAAACGAGAGAGAGTAAAATAAAGAGAGTGAGTGAAAGAGAGCGCTGACTGCGCTGGCGCGCCGGTCAAGCAGAGAGGTGCAATTAGTCATCCGACTGCTGCTGCCCGTCCACTTTTGCTTTTTTGTTGTTGCTGTTGCTGTTGTTGTTGCTTTACCGCATGCAAATGTCGTGTGACAGCAAAACAGTGGGACAGAGAGGGCGCGTGAGGCAGAGAGCGGCAGAGAGAGAGAGAGAGAGTAAACAGGCTTACAGGGAGTAAACTTTCAATGGGGAACACAAAGTCTTCTGCCGCCTCTGACGACGACGTCGCGCTCTGTCGCGTTACGTGAGCGGCAGCAGCGCACGCGCGACTTATTCAAATTGCGACTATTTTTTTTTTTGCTGCTTTCTTTTTGCTTTTTATTTGCGAGCGACGATTTCTTACAGCATCGAGCATGCGCGGTTTATCAAGAGGTTTGTGTTCGGTTTGCCCATATTGTGCGGCACTGGAGGATGCTTTTTGGATGAATGAATATTCAACAGGGTTTTTTGTTTTGTTTTTATGCTAAATAAATGATCTGAGGCAAGACAAAGTAAAAGTGCCATAATATTTAAATGGATGAAAAAATGTAAAAAAGAAACTTTTCGATTTGTTTTCTATTTTATGGGAAAGGGTATTCGATTCTTCGTTGGTGCCGAATGCATGCTTAAATTCATATTTCTTTTCATTCGCCTTTTTGTTGTTGTTGTTTTTTCCCCACTAATTTGCGTTTGGCTCATTTTAATTTTTGTTGTTGGTTTTTGTTTTAATATTAAAAATCATAGCCCGCTCTTGTTGGCTCTTTCGCTCGCCCGAACCTCTTTTAAGATGCCTGTACACGTTCAGTTTTTCACCGATGCTTTTTTGTAGTCTGATAGAGTTTTTGCTTAATTGTTTTTTTTTTTTTTTCTTTAATAAAAGAACCAAAATAATAATGGAAATTATGAGAATCTTTTGCTATTTTTAATCGATGGATTATGCTTGGCCATTTCAATTGGATTTTTATCGTTGAAAAAGTGTTGGCAGAAGGCTTTACGTGTTTGCAGCAGCAGCAGCAGTAGTTCGCTCTCTTGATCACTCGTTTAATCCAAACGGTTGGGGCTTGGCTTGGCTCGGTTCGGTTCGGCTGGGCTCTCCTCTCTCTTTCTCTCTCTGCGCGCTATACGCTCTCCTGGGTGAATGCTTTTTGTAGTTGTTGTTGCTTTTTATTCACGATTTATGTGCCTTAAACTGTTGTTGTTGTTTTCTTTCTGTTTTTCTGTAATGCTTTTTGGTCTTCGTTTCGTTGTCGTTGTGTGTAGGAAGCATCCACTGGAGGTGGCAGCAACAGCAACAGACACAGCCACAGCGGCAGCAGCAGCAGCAATAGCAACAGCAACAACAGCAATAGCAACAGCAACAGCGCTGCCGGAATGGAGCCACCAACATCACCGACATCGCTGCCGCCATACCAGGTGAAAGCGATGGAGACCATTTTCATCAAAGAGGTACAGGCGAACGGACCGGCCCACTATGCGAACCTCCAGACGGGCGACCGTGTGCTGATGGTCAACAATCAGCCGATAGCTGGCATTGCCTACAGCACCATCGTTTCGATGATCAAGCAAACGCCGGCGGTGCTCACGCTGCACGTTGTACCCAAGGAATGCGATGTGCTACAAATGGTGAGTAAGAAGAGGATATATATTATATATATTATAGTATATTATATTATATTATATAATATATCTAATCTATTGCCCCTTATCTAACTCACTCTATCTCGCTCTCGTTAGCACTATACGAGCATTGCCCATACGCCGGAATCGAATCGGTTGACAATGTCAACGCACTCGCCATCGCATGGGCATGGGCATGGGCACGGGCACGGGCACGGGCATACGCTGCTGGCCAATGGAACGACCAATGCCTCCACCGCCTCCACAATCCACAAATCCACATTTCCACAGCAGCAGCAGCAGCAACAACTACAACAACAACAACAACAGCAGCAGCAACAGTTGATCTCATATCCCGCTGTGGCTGCCACATCATCGCCGGCATCCTCGCCGCACCAGCATCAGCATACGCACACGTATCCGCATCCTGTTCAATCACATCCTTCACATGGACATGCACCGTCCCTGCATGGCGGCAGTCGATCTGGTAGCATAACCAGCACCAACAGCGGAGGAGTCGTCTCCTCCATGAGTCATCATCATCATCATCAGCAGCAGCAGCAGCAACAGCAGCAGCATCATCATCATCGTCATCCGGCTCTCAGTGGCGGCAGCAGTAGCATTGATTTCGGAGATATGGCCCTTGGCCTGCGTCAGCATCCTCATCAGCATCTCTATCAGCAGCAGCAGCAGCATCATAATCATCATCAACAGCATCAGCTGCTCTCCACTGGCGGCGGCAGCAGTGGCGCCTTCATGCGGTAAGTCAATAAACTTTTCCCCTCGAGCAACGGGTCGGGTGTGTTAATGAAATGAAAAGAAAAGAAAAGATCGATCAAAGCTAATTTTGAATCTAGAAACAGATTAATTTATGTGATTGGGAAAGGCTTTTAGAACAACAACAAAAAGAAAAAAAAAAAAACAAATGCAATTAATATCGATTGGCGAATAGATTTAATTGATTTAATGGGGTTCAAACATCGAAACATTCAAAAACAAACAAAGAATTTCAGCTGCGAAAAAAAAAGCGAAAGGGAAAAAAATTAGACAGAGATTTTGGCTTAACAATTGAATCCTCACCTGAAGATATTAGATATTAAATTAGGGGCTACCAATCCAATCCAAAACCAGGTCTGATGCCCATCGTGCCGCCATCGAAACAATTTTGATACAGAAATATTTTCGAATGTTTGCTTAACTAATCAATTTCGATCTGTCGAATGTCTCGATGCAAAAACCCAACGGATTGAAGCTAGAACTCCTAACCCATAAACGTGAACTGAGAACTAATCATTAAGGCAGTATCATTACGCCATCAAAAGACTTGGCAATGGGTATGGCTACCGCAAAGAAAGCGTAGCTCTTGATAATGTCCCAGACGAACGGTTCGTTATATATCGCATTGCATATAACGCGAATCTTGTCAGCACGTTTCTTAAAATCAATCATATTGCGAGTGGGTTCCACTGTAAAAACAAAATGGAAATTAGTCACATTATTAAATGGTGTAAATATTTTGATTGATTTCCCTTACCTGCTGGTGGCTATTTGGTCAATTATTTGTAAAGTAATATTATTCCTTTTTTTGAGATTGAGACAGGGACAGAGACAAGCTAGCTGCCGTTTTGGCGGTTGAGGCGGTGCAGACTGTTGAGAGGCGTTGAGGCTTGGTTGCTGCAAAATTGTTTAACTATTTCAAAAATTTCAAATACCTGATTGTATATGAACTGTTGTTTAGTTCAGGTTGAGACAGAGAAAAAATCCCGTTGAGTCTTGTTGCTTGGTTGCTACAAAATTGTTTAGTTTTTTGTAAAATATATAATTCCTTTTTGTATCTGAATTTTCGTTGTTCAGCTTGAGACAGAGACAAACAAACTCCCCCTTTTAAAGTGACTATGAAATATTTGGCAAGGACTACTTGGTTCCCGAATTTCGAAACAACAGAAAATAATTCAATAATTATTTGTGGGGAAATAAATGGTGAATTGATGTAAAAAAGGGTGTGCTTAATGTTTAATTGCTTATGTCCAGCTCAACGATATGATAGGAGGCAGACACAGACAGAACTGTTACAGAGAAAAGGAGGATGTGTGGCAATGTGCCACCGTTTCTAGAGTGCAGTAAATTTTCCTTGGTCTTTGATTTGCATTGACAAATATTTAGTTACAAATTGTAATTGACATTTTAGATTTTTAAATGCACGCTGAACATTTCCGAATAATAAAGAAATTATTGAATAATTGTTGGCCAGAATTAACATAAAACGAAATTTTGAATATTTCTGTATAATTAAATAATAACAAACAAGAAACAGAATTAAATAAGTGGGGATTGCATATTGTTGTAGCTGGATAGTTGAATCGCCAAAAGTCCGAAATGTACCCACAACCCACCAGGACACTGTCATTGACGATTCAGGCCAGGTTTCATGGGAGGTAATGGTATGGCAGGTTCAATTCTTGACAAAAGAACATTTTAGGAGAGCCATTTACACACCGAAAAAATTCAATGTACCATTGAAATTTATGCATCTTGATATTTTAGAATTATCTTTGCACACATGCACTTCGGTGTCGGTTCAGTAGTCACATGTTGGGTCTTCCAAGTGCCACTGATTTTATATTCGACTGTGAATTCATGAAGGGTTGCGTTCTTAGTCTGGTCAGTGTGGCATGATGTTAGATTTTTGTGCACCTCTTTTGTGTATGTTTTCAGCCCTAAGGTTCCAGTTTCATGGGATACTTTACGATCTTTCCTTTTGAAGATTTATTTACAAATATTTCTGCATTCAGTGTTGTAATGGAAATGTCAAGCCATCCTCTGGCAAGATGCCTGAAATACAAAGCAATTATTGTTTAGATTTCTATATTGTTGAGTGAGACATGTGAAAATGGAAACAAACTTTGTGAATGTGATCCTTGGCATCCAATCCGTGTGCCCCACTCCTCTGCGTTGTCTGTGATGCGTGATTTATGGATGGCGATTGAAGTCCATTGACTGCGGAGCATGTGGAACCTGAAGAGGAAAAAAGAGGCCAAAACAAATCAGCTGGAACTGAAACAGAAACAGAAACAAGCAAATAACTAAGTGGAAAACTCTCAATGAGACACGAGAAATGTTTTTCGGCTTCTCTGGGTACGATACGAATATGAGGAGAGGGAGAGAGAAAGGGAAACACACACACAGAGAAAAGCAGAGGCAAAGAGCAGGGAAATTCAAGCTGCTGATGAACTAAATGACATTAATAATGTCATAACCGCATAATGAACCACAAACCAACGAATGGAGCGGAATGGCACAGAACAGAACGGAACGAACAATGCGAATAATTAAAGACAATTTGCAAATGTGGAAAACTGTGCCCAATGCATCAGACCCCAGCCCAAAAACCCCAAAACCCTGTTTTGTCCCGCCTACCCTGTCCCGGCTACCCTGTCCCGCCTATCCCGCCATAATGTCCAGTTTTTTTTTTGTTTTTGTTTTTTCTGTGGCCTTAATTTATATTGGGGATAAGGGGGACACCCAACCACCCTGCCCCCTACACCACTCACGCCATATAAAATATGGAAAACCCAACAAAATATGCGAGGGGTATGGTGGGGGGTGAGTCTGTGTCTTTTTTGGATGATTTCATTCCGTCATCAGAATTTCTGTTCATACGAAATATTCTCATCTCATTTCATTCATCTCTCGTCCCTCTGTCATACATTTTTGCCCCAACCATTGTTTTCCCATTGTATCTGTACGGAATGAAAATTTATATGCCATGCATATTTTCTCTTATATTTTATTTTATTCGATATAGCAAATGTAGTGTGACGTCTGAAAATCAAGCAATTCCTCAATTCCTGGCTCCAAAAAAAAAAAAAATAAACGGAACGAAAAACTGGAATCAATTCTTGGGGTTAATTAAGGGGGAAATGCCACAAAGAAAACAATTGAAATTACTTGAAGAATAAACAACAGATTGATTGGGACTAAAGGTACAAAGAAAGCGAAAAATTTCTGGTGTATAAAAAAAAGGGGGAATATTTATCTCATGTTGCTCTCAGGGGCAAGTCAAGTCAGAGCCGCTTGGCTGTCGCTTTGTGCCGCCACTTAATGCTGCAGTCGTTTCACCATGGATGGGGGGGACAAGGTCGTACCCTAAACATGTTATCACTTTAACCTTTGGGCTCTAAACTTCTTTACCTTTACCTTTACCGTCTCCTCTCACTTGGTTTGTTTATACTTTACATTTTTCTTTGCTCTGCACTTTGTCACGTTTTTCTCTCCGCACAATTTCAATGTGCAATTTTCAAATTATCATTTGTATTTTTCTACCCTGCACACATTACGTGAGGCAGGGCAACAGAGAACTGTAATAGATTAGCAAAACATAATTTCTCCAGAACAACAGAACGTGTAGAATGGAGAACAGAGCTATTATGAAAGGAGATTTACAGATCCCAGCGCAGGCATTCATATTCATTTATTTATTATTCGGTAATAATTCTCGAAAATGCATGAATAATATTTGTAAATCTTTTGGAACGATCTACAATCTGTTGAGTTCCGAAAGCCTCGCCTATGCTGACAAAGGGTTTTCATACTTATTACAAGTAAAAGATTTAATTGGTGGCACCTGCTGTTCGAGTTCCTGTGATGACTCAGAAAGCGTCAGATGGTGAATGGAAATTGGTCTAATTTTCTTGTCGTTTCCCCCTTCACTCTCTTTCCGGCTGCATTTTCGCCACTTGATAATTTTACACGTCCATTAAAACTGAGTTTGACGTTCCTCCCATATGAGATTTCTGTGGCCCCGTGGTCGCTGTCCCATATGAATTATTGAGAATTATTTTAATATGCAAAACGCAATGGCGAACAATATTTTTTGTACCCTCCTGTGCAACCCTGTGCCCGCCTTGTCACAATCTCATGGCCCTGCCATCGTCTCACATTGCGTATACGCAGCGTTGTTGCATATGAATATGAATAAATAAATCAATTAATACATATATTGTAAAAATGCAGCAACAAAAGCAATAACACAACTCATTGACTAATCAATAAATAGGTGGGGGGAGGGTGGTGAGAGAGAGAGAGAGGGAGAGAAAAAAACTTGGAAGAAGAGGAAAATCACTGCAATACCTTATACAAATATCGGAGTGTAAATGGATACCCGACACCCAACACCCGACGCCGACACCAACACGTCCCCCACCCTGATAAAATCCCAGTACTTTGCCCGAACAATACACAATGGGAATAGCATTTTTTTTTCGTATATATCTGTTTTTTTTTTTGTGACTTGCCGACGCGCGACACACCGCGCGCGCTCTCTCTCTTGTTCCACCATTGTTAAATAATTACGACAAATTTAATTGAATTTTGTATGGAACGATCATCAGGGCGAAGCAGAAGAAGAAACAGAACAGGCGGGGAAATCAGAGGGCAGAATAAGCGAAGAACCTGTGGGATCTGCCAGAGGCAGCAGCAGTACAAGGAGGCACTAGAACCAGTTGAAGCAGTGTAGAAGCGATCTCAAGCATAAATTATGAATGCTATGGGATTAGTTTCTATCTCGAGGGACAATGCAACTATATTTCGACTCACCTGTTGAAATTTGGCAGTGGAAGGTGCAAACAACAAACTTGTAAAATAATCATACCCAATTGAGAATGAGACAATGTCCAATGTTTCTGGCTGACTGACCAGTTTGCCGTTTTTATGCTGTGCTTGTTGTATGCTAATGATTATAATCGAATCTCCGTGCAAACAGATGAAAAAGCAGTGCAGGAAGGCAGAATAAACACTGCCGCCGAACAGAGCAGAACAGAATAAGAGCCGGCAGTGCAGACGGGCAGAAAATTGAGAAGCGGAAGTGCGCTGACAGAGGCAGTGACTGCAGGCAGCAGAAGCAGCAACAGTGGCAGTGGCAGTGGCAGTAGCAGTGGCAGCAGCAGAGCAAAGGAACGCATACATATGTCAATTCATTCGGCTATCAGCTGTAGGTGGGCGGGCGGTATTTCGATGGTACAGCTTCTGGGTGGGTGGCTTGAGGTGAGTGAAAAGGAGATGGAAAATATAACGGAGGACCACGCCCACGCTTAGGAATGCATTCATCGAGATGTGTGCTGCGACGCAACCAGACAGCAAGACACCACAACACACTTCGCCATTCGCACTCAATGAGGGGGAGGCTAGAAGGCAGGGCAAAAGCGCGCTAGAGAGAAAGAGAGAGATTCCCATACCCTCTGTTCCACTTGGCAGCACAAGGGTGTATTGGTTTCAACCGAGATGATGCACAACAGGCGGTAGAAAGCGCTTTACTGATACAAGAGATTTTTGAGACTTTATTTTCAATGACCGAGGTGCACTGCTGCATTACGAGCGACTCGTCGTGTAACGTCTAGAAACTAGAGGGGTGGACAGGTGCAGGTCCCCCTGCTAGGAAATTTATATCTTGACGAAAAAACAAAAATTGTCTGAGAAGACAAAAAAAAAAAAACAAAATATATGTCGTGTGCATGACAAGGAATATTGATTAGCAGCGTAAATCCAGCTGGAGTTTTTACAAGTTTAAAAATATGGCTGAGGCAGTTCCTGATAAACGACTAATCCTCTCTAAATAAAGAAAAACAAGAACCAAAAAACCTTTGATCGATATTAAAGAGTAAAGATTGAACTACTATTTGGCCTAATGTGTATTACGAGTTAATAAATTCTTATTAAGGAAGGTATTATATAGTTCCGAACGTGTGTGCTTGTGTGTTTTAAAATGTTTTTCCTAAAGATTAAAATGGAAATTGAGACACGAGTTCAGATTGAGTTTTGAGTAGACCTAGAGCCTCTCGTCTTGGCTGGAAGGGGTAGGTGGGAGGTTGGGTGGCTGATTTATGTAAATTATTGACTACCAACGAATACTTGAGGCACCAAGTATATGCGAACGAGTACAGGTATGTAAGTATCTATTAACATGGCTATAAACCAGATGTTTGTACATATACATACATACATATATATTGTGCTGTACTCGCATTCGTATCATATGCGCATATGCTGCTGCTGTTGTTTTTAAGGTTTACGTTGGTGTTGCCGCTGACGCTGCTGCTGCTGCCTGTACCCTGTACCCCGTCCCTGTTCCAAACAGAAGTTGACCTTCAATATGGAATATATATCGGTGTGCAGGTACTATGAGTACTTACACAACTGTACCGCATTATAACGCATTATCCTGCCGCGTGCATTTGGTTCTTTTTTGTTGTTTGCGCACTTGTAACTCAATTGATTGATTGACTGATTGATGGGTGGCGAAAATGTCGACACACCCTCGACCCAAAAAGCAGAAGAAGAGCAAAACCCATAACAATATTTCCATTGCGTGTGGCATGTGCATATGCATGTGCGCGCACAGTGGATGTGGTGCTTGCACGTGCCTGCCGGTATATCTTGTGCAACAAAATATATGTCAACCCCATACAGTCGAGAGTATTTCAACTGTTCAGATTGAATATTCAGTCGCATGAATTCTTTATTTATTTAAGTTATTTTTTAATAATACATCAGGGCAGTGTTTTGTTTTTTTTGTTTGTTTTTGTGATTGATCTGATTATTTGATCAGTGATCAGTTCTCTTATTCTACCGATAGGTGATGCTGCATGTCGCATCACTTAGTTTCCCGCCCTGCATAAAGCGCTTCGCTCTTTAAAATGAATTCGAAGCTCAGAAAATTCCATTCCAATAACACAACTGCATTTCACATTTAATTTGCATCGCAATTATCCATGAATAGCTATTTATTTAATGCAAATTCCACATAAACAACACTCGACATCCTCAGCAACTGTGGCAATTGTGTGGCTTAAATTTGTATAGAGATCGTTGCTTGGTTTTCACCTGAAATGAAGACCTCCTACGAAGCCATGCCCATGGCTTTTCGAGTTCGACGGAAATTCCATTAGTGCTGGTGACAGAATTCTAGGTAAAAACGAGTAATCCTTGCACATAGTTAGGTTGTCGTCTCTGTAGTCGACAGAGTTTCAGTTACAGTTTTAGGTTCCTTTGTATACCACTGTGCATTATGACAAAATTTAAATACTTGTTTTTGCATTGACCATTACGTATACGCCCCCCATACCGTGTTTGGGTGGCTCGATTGTTTGGATATTCCAACCCCTAGCCACACCTTGCCACTCCACACTGCACCACATTCCACTCCTTCTCTGTCTCTCTCTCTCTCTCTCTCTCTCTGTATCCATTGGGCCCCCACGTCCGCTGGGCGAGTAAATAAACAAGGTTAATGGGGGAGGAGGGAGGAGTACTTGGGATGCGACGCGCCGAGTATTTGGCCAGTCAGTCGGTGGACACTGATAGTGATTCTCGAGCGAGAGCAGTGGATGTCGCATGCATATCGACTGCCCGCCCATCCTTCTGTTGTTCTGCATAAACCCACTCTGTGGGCAGTTGTCACACTCCTCTTTCATCCACTCAAAATATTTATTTATCTTTTTATTGGTTATAAAATATTTAAAAAAAAAAAAAATCAAGCAGAGTGAAAGAAAGAAATCACGAAGAAAAAAAAAAAGAAAAAACGGAAGATGAGTGGAAAAGGAAGAGCGAGCATCAGTCGATGGCCTAGAGATGGGGCAGTAATGGGAGAGCACGAGCCCCGGGGGAAGTAAAAATATGGCTCAAAATTTAGCCAACAAAATGATCCTCATTTGATCTATGATTTGGTAAGCGAGAATATTTTTTAGTGAGAATATATTCCAGTTCGATCATCTGTTAGGTCTTTCATACCGGTCAGCCATTTCAAAATGATTGCATCTCTATTGCATTGGATGGATCTAGGACATCTGCATATCTATTAGAATCAACGAGTTATAAATAAATCAACGAGTATCTATATCAACGAGTACATATATTAACGAGCGAGTACAAGTATATTGCATCGCCTGTCTAAGAACGAGTACCTATTATTGACTATATATTTCAATCAATCAACGAGTACATAAATGAACATTTCTATGGATCCTTAACATACACACACATATGTATGTCACATATAAGGACGATCGCCTAAAACCTTTTAAGGTTCCGCCTACAAATCATCAAAAATGTTGCAAGCTGCAGTTGTATATAATTTCACATTTCACATATGCACATGCGTAGGTACAAATTTTAATGATGATTGATGAATTGCCAAAAAATTTGTGTGTGCGTTTCGTCCTCATCTGTTGAATAGCATTTGAGTGGCATTAAGTAGATCAAATTTACCTGTTAGTGGGTTCGAGTGGATGAGAGTGGAATGGGAAATGCAGGAGCTACGACGAGTATATAGAAGTCGGTGCTGGGTGCTGGGGGCTGGGGTGGGTTGGTGTCGTCGTCGTGCGTCGTGCGTTGTGCGTTGTGCCTCCTGTTCTCGTGTTGGTTCGGGATTCCGCGATGATGATAGCCCGACCCGAGCGCCCATCTCTAGCCGGTGGGTCGCATACGTACGCTCGTTGTGCGCTGCCCACTTTCAATTGCCTGAGCTCTGAGCCTCTGCCTGCGCTGCGCCATGCCATGCCACGCCACGCCACTCTGCGCTGCTCTGCTATGTCGCTGTCTCTGCTTACACCTCCGCCACCGCCTCTGCCTCTGCCTGTCTTTCCCATTGGCAGTGACAGTGTCTCCTCTGCTCGGGTTCGTTTATCCGCTGCTGCTGCTGCTGCTACTGCTGCTTCTGCCTCAGTCCTCGGTCGCGGTGCCTCCTCTGCTGCTTAATATGAATTTCATACATGCACACACAAAGCCAATTTCTGTATTTTTTTTTTTCATTTTTTTTTTCTTCTTCTTATTTTGTATTTTGATTTTAGTTAAGCTGCATGGACTCTGCGCTGTACTTTAGTTTAGTCGACGACGGCAAGCAGAGCGCGCAGATTTCATATTTTGTGATTCCGCGGCAAGCAAAATATTTGTTGTACATTTCCATACTTTCTTATTTTGTTTTATATGTTTTAAAATTATTTTATAAACTTTTTATTTGGCGGGAAGGGGGGGTTGATCTCTTGTGAGTTTATTGCATTTATTTTTGTTGTTTATCCATTTGTTTTTGTTCATAGATTTCTTCTTGTACTATTTGATTTATTATACTATGCAAATATCGCAGTGGTTGCTTTTTGTTTGTTCAAGTGATAAATAATACCAAAAAAAAAAGTGTGGAGGAGCTACAAATCCTACAAGAAATCACCAACAGCTTCAGAGACCTTGAATCAAAGATATATATATATATATACAAATCATTAGATCAAAAGTTCAAGTGTTCTCGAATGATAGATCGTGTATTTTGATCTATACATATGAACACTCGCTTGGAATTCCTACCGACTGAATGGACATCAGTTGCTTGAAATAATCTAACAATGATTGTAGAATTAATCAACTCTTTCTTTACTCTACTTTATCCACTGTTTATCAATTGTTGAGTGAATCTTTTACATCAAAAATTTACTTAATAGTGTTCGAAACTTTGTGTACACTTTTTCACCTTTAAAGCGTAGCGATCTTTAACTGGATTAAGTTGATCGAACAAATTATCATCTTCAGTCATTACTATTGTTTCTTTTGTATTCCAGATTTTTTTTTTAAATAGTTAAATATCCAAAATCAGCTATACTCAAACATCTTAAAAGTTTCAAGTTTTTGTTAAAAAAAAAAATAAAAATAAAAAAAAAATCCATCCGTCCGTTCATTCAGACAGTAGAATTTACAGCGAAGTGTCCTACGGATATATGTATAAAGGTTCTGCAATGTCGGCCAAACAAGAGAACTCGTTCTTGAAAAAAAGGTTAGAATGAAATGGTTAAAATCAGTTGCAAACGATCATCATTCTCAGTGGGGGATCATGCACGTATTCTCTCTCGTTCGCTTTAGTGGGTGGAGGAGAGTGTGATGGCAGATTAAGCTGCAATTTGGTGATCATCTTCGTAAGCACTCTCTCACTCAGCCAGCTGATCAATATTGATCTTATACTCTCTCTCTCTCTCTCTCTCTCTCTCTCTCTCTCTTTCACACTCAACTGATACCGATCGATACTTTGGGGGAGAGAGGATCTGCCTCAGGTCTATCTTTCTCTCACAGCTGATCTTTTGTTATGGCGGGACAGAGTAGCAGGTGATCATGCACACATATGCATATCCCGTTACGAGAGCGAATGAGAGTGGAGCGAAGGCTAAGCTTTGCAAATTGTTCTCTCTATCAATCTCAGCTTTTACCTACAGGCAATAAGCAGCTGATCCTTCAGCACTCTCTCTCTCTCAGTACATTTTTTTTTTGTTCTAGAGATTTTAGAAAGGAGCCAAAGAGGCGGGGAGAGAGGTACAGAGTGAAGGACAATGGGGGCCAGTTGAGGAATTGCTGTCGTTGCAGCGTCGCTAGTGCTGCTCCTGCTCCTGCTGCTGACGCAGTCGTCTCAGTTTCAATAGCGGCAGCGGCAGCGAAATCGATATCAAAATCATTCACACCAAGTATCTGATTGTTGGAAGAGTTAGCGGGATGGGAAGGGGTAGAGAGCGTGGGTGTATGCATGCCATGCATATGTGCATATGTGTGTGCTGTTGACAGGTTTGTCCACCGCCCCCGGCCCCCCCCTGGCCGCACCACACCTTTGGGCCCTTTTGTTGCTTATCAAATGTGTCAACAATTTTTTATTTATGACTTGTTAATTGCAAAGAGTCGCAAGAGAGTCCCGCAATCGTTGGCAAAACGCAAATCAGACAATAACCGATGACAAAAGCAACAACAATGAGCGCAAGAGGCCCAACAATGGATAGGTTCAGTGTGCAGCACACACAGAGGAGGGAGGGAGGTAGATACAACAATCGGACAATAAAGCGCGAAATTCCGCACACACACTAACTGAGAGGCAAACAGAATGGGGAGCAATAGATAGAAAATGAGTGAGTGAGTGAGAGAAAGAGAGAGAGAGAACGCAACAGAAGAGGGGGGTGGTGTGTGTGTGTGTGTGTGTGTGTGTGGGGTTGCCAATCCGTGTGAGTGAGTGGTATGGCCTCTATAGATACAGATACAGCTCATTCGCACCGCTTGCCGCTGCCGCCTTTCATCGATAAGACAACAACACAAATGGGTGTGTGGTGTGTGTGTGTGTGTGTGTGGCGAGAGAAGATATAGAGAGTGCGATGGAGACAGAGAGTGGTGAGCAGAGAGGAAGAAGGGAGAGCAAGAGCTTATGACGGCAGAGAATGAGAATGTGAGAATGCTAGAATGTGTGGTGGGTGGTGGGTGGTGGGGGATGGTGGTGTTGGGGGCGGAATCAAATCGAACCGAATTGAATCGTACATGTAAGAGTCACACTTGTGTCAATGCTTCGGTGGATCATACGCATATGCACAGCACATTCATGAGCACACGAATAGCTACATAGATAAACACACATACACACATGCATACATACATACATTTATCCGATAAGTCAGAATTATATGAATATAAAATTGAGTCTCGAATTTCGTGGCGAATATCGGAATATCGCCTCCGTAGGTGAAATTTGCCAACCAGCAGCCCCCAGCCCCCAGCCCTGTATCAAATTCTGTTGATCCCACAATTTGTTGACGAACGCTCAAATTCAGCTTCAAACTGGAATGTCCATTTGTGCGGCAAATTGTTGAATCGTTTTGGTATTTTGAGAAAGAGTTTTGTTTATTGTTACAGTCCAGTCCCCCCTGGCTCACTGCCTGGATGCAAATATTTTAGTTTTTTTTTTTCTTTGGTTAGTGGCTGGGTAACGAATTCCACAGGCATATCGTTCCAGATATCAGTTTCTTATTTATTATTATTGGGAGATTTGTAAACATATCCACATATGTATGTATGTTTATAACGGTATTCATGTCATGTTGGGTTCTCATGGCTTATAATATGTTGTGACAAGGAAATAGTTTCCAGATACGTAAATATCGTATTGTATTTCTGAAGATTATGTTTCCCCAGAATGGTGTGAAATCAAACAAAATAATAAAAAAAAAGCAGATCCTCTCTACCTAGAATATTTGGAGTGTTTTTCAGAGACTTGAAAACGAATTTTGCTACTCATAATTTTTTTTATTTGTTATTAACAAAAATCGGAATAAGTTTAGAAAGCATGGAAATTACATATGAGTATGCTTGGAGCTGCGTATCCATGTGATTTTTTATGCAGTTTGAAATGTGCAGGGAATTAAAAAATGTAGCCTCAAAGATGAAAGAGTCTCCTCCCACACAGAAACCATAAATAAACAAATCTCATTTCTTTTGAGAGTATTTTATGGTACCTAATTGGTAAACTTAATCTGATTTTGGCCAGCCCTGGCGCGCCTCGCTGTGCCCTATTTGTGTGTCCTTTGGTGTGCGCGTGTCAATTGAGTGGCCTGGCTGGCTGGCTGGCTGCCTGTGCGGGTGTAGTGGAGCTTATGCATAGATTATAATTTAAGCGTGCACACACGCACCAATACACACACACATACGGATACGCGCACACCCATGCTCATTGACTTGCTGGAGGGGCAAAAAGCTCTCGGGCTGTGATCCAATGAATTTACCGTTAATGCCGAGTACCTGCTGCCATCGCTGCTTGCATTTGCTTCGCTGCCAGCAGCAGGCTACTACTCCTATTCCTGCAGTGCTTCTCTGCCTGCTGTCTGCTGTCTGCTACCTGCTGGTTGCTGGCTGCTGCTGCGCTGCTCTAACTCTGCTGGCAGCGCTCTGCTCTGCCAGTCGCTCACCCACTTGCCTGCCAGCTCATTTTTCGTCGCACTGATTCACTCTCTGCCCGCTGCGTTCTGTTATTCTGCCGGCATCTGCTCATGCTCTTCTGTTCCCCCTGACTCTCACTCACTCGCTCTCTCTCTCTCTCTGCCAGCAATTTGGCTCTGCATTTCTGCCACTACCACTCTGTCGGCAGTTGTTGCTTCCTCTCTTCAGCCTGCTGCTGTTCTCTTCTGCCGGCTGATGGTCCTCTGCCTGATCCACTCTGCCTGCATTCTGCTGCTGCTACTTTACTTCTGCTGCTGTTCGGCCGCTGCTTATTTGCTCCTGCTGCCGCTGCTGCTGTTCGGAGCTTCCTACTAGTAATTCTGTCACTGCCTCTGCTGCTGCTGCTGCTGCTGTCGCTGCCCTGAAAGCTAGGCTATGAAAATGTATGCAGTGGGGACAGAGATGGCGATATTCTATTATTTTGCGACTTGAAATACGATCCAAATATGGGAGAAATAGGGGAGACAGGTAGCAGCAGCAGCAGCAACAGCAACAAGAGAGAGAGACGCAGAGATAATTCTATTCATTACCTTTTGACCTTGACCGTCATCGGTAGTCTGTCGTTCTCGCCTGCTACCCCTCCATTGGCTTTTGAGTTGAGTTTTGAGTGTAGGAAAGGCTTTTAAAAGCGAAATTGAATTAACTATCCTTTCTAGCAAACGCACACACACACACACACATGCTTACGATGGCCTGTCAACTATTTATAGAACTTTGAACTTTAATTTCACCATCTCTGATGTGGCCTCAGGTAAGAGAGAGAGAGCTAGAACTAGACCTGGAGAAACACGCAGAGAGAATGTGGAGAGGGCAGGTGGAGAAAGTGAGGCAGGCAGGCAGGATGGAGTGGGAATAGTTAAACTAATTTTCCATTTTCCAGTGCATAACCGCAGGCCCTCTCTCTCTCTCTGCTCTATCGTTCTTTAGTTTTCTCCTAAGATCCCTCCACTTTGTGTCCTGCCACTCTGTTGGCATCCTTGTGTCGCATGAAATTGAATTATGTTGCTGCTTCTGCCCCACGGCTAAATCTAATTTGTTTGGCTTTTTGCACAGTTTATTGAGGGCCAGGTCCCACTGTACTCATGCTAATGTGGGTGGGCAGCGAAAGAGAGAGCCCGAGCCCGAGCCCTGAGCCTGAGCCCAAGCCCGAGCGAGAGCGAGAGAGGGTGGATGAGAGTGCAGTGCTAGTCCACGAGTCCTGGTCATGGTCATGGTCATTAGCTTTGACACGAGCCGGAATAGGAAAATCGTGTAATACCTGGGTCCTATGTACCACCACCACCCTCTCCCTCTCCTCTCCCTCTGTGCCCCTAAATGTGTGGGATGTGGAGCATACAGAATGTGCATCCCCCTCATTCCCCTGGGGGCTTTGGGTTTCGGTTTTCGCCTGTCCCTTGGGGCCAACGCTTCCACCGCTGCCTCCTCCTCCTCCTCCTCCATCTGTCATGGTCATGGCCAGGGCTGACCGATAACGAAACTCACAAATACACACATGTTCGCCAAAAACCCAAGAACTTTGCACTTGTGCCCATGACATTAGCTATACTTTTAAAGGGGTGCTGGGGGGGTGGAAAAGGGAAGGTCTGCCTGTCTGTTGCAATCCAAAACAGTTTCGTCTCCTCGAATTTGTCTTGTTTCCTGATCAATTTTGATATTTAAATCGAAGTTTCTGCTTGGGTTAAATGCTGACTTTATGTGTTAAATATAATAATTAAAAAAAGTTTTTTTTTAAATTTATTTAATTAAAAAATCGAAAGAGTTTGCAGCAGCACTTTTTTAGGGGATAATTCAGAGTTATAAGTTCTAAGTCTATTGTGAGAATAAAACTTGCGTTTTATTGATTCTCATTCAAAAAAGAACCCATAAGAATCGGAGCCAAACAACTGGCCAATGCGTTCGTGGAGTTCTCCTTAAGCGTTGGGAAATTGTTGCAAATTTGCATTATCCATATTATCCATTATGCATCTATCCATAAAACACTAGACTCAACCATGAACCCTAGCTGTTCCACTCCACTCCACTCCACTCCTCTCCTCTCTCTCTCTCTCTCCTTTCCTTCCTTTCTCTATCTGCAAATTTCTTGCCAAACTAAAACTTTGCTTTCCCACCCCCCTTTTAATCGAGGTGTGTGGTGGGTGTGTGAAAGTTTATTTATCGCACGAAAGCAGAAGTGCAAGTAAAATGAAAAGTGTAAAAGTGCTAAAAGCAGATGCAGAAGTTTCTTGTGGTGCCTGTCGCGAAATTAAAAGTTTGCGCGATTACCAACGCCCGGGGGGATTTGGGAATGGGGATGGGCGCGGCGCCTGTAATGTTTTTTTTTTGCTTCTGCTTCTGGCCGGCAAACACAACTGGCCATCAAAGCAAAAATCTGTTGCTTTCTATTGCAACGGTTGGGGGGGATAAACACTTGAAGCGTTCTACTTGCCCCATCGTTCGATCAGTTGCATCAGTGCCCGTCCGTCGAGGTGTCTGAACGGAAGCCAATAGGAAAAAAAAAAACATGAAGCATATTACGATTTGAGTTGAAGTGCAAATTGCAATTGCATTCAGATATATATCTAAGTGAAAAAAACCCATAGAAAAGTGTGCAAAACAAAAGCAAAATTTATAAAATTTATAAATTAATAATAAGGGGGCGTGCCATAGTGGCTGGCTAGTGGTTGCTGTGGTGGTGGTGGTGGTGGCCTCAAAGTGTGTAAATGAAAACGGAATTCGAAAATTTGGCAATCAGCTTAAAGAAGAGAGCGTGACCAGCATTAACGATCGGTGCGATCGATCGTTCGATCGGTATGGATTGCGCATGCGTCCATCGTATATCGTATGACGACAGCACGCCATCAGCAGCACCAGCACCAGCACCCTCCGCCATCTGCATACCGAAACCCCTTTGCTGATGGCACGTGCCACAGCAGAGCCCGCCCCATTCTCATTCCCATTCCCAGTGACAGTGACAGTGTCTCGCAGTCATTGACGGGGGGAACTCTATTTGGTTGACTGCCAAATTGGATCTCCCTCCAGTCGCTTGGATCGATGATTGTCGTTGATCGCTGATCGCTGATTCAATTGACAAATATTTTTGCCATGAAACTAAGGCTAAGGCTTCTAAAGATGATACAACAGGTGCCTGTTTGCTGGTTCGTTGATAAAAATAGGGGAACGGCCAAGGAAATCACAGACGAAAATACACTATACTTTTGGTCTTCTTTGAGGAGTCTCCTTTGAGTATTCTAAGAGTCTCCTTTGAGTCTTCTTTGAGTCTCCTTTGAGTCTCTGAGTCTTCTTTGAGTCTCCTTTGAGTCTCCTTTGAGTATTCTATGAGTCTCCCTTGAGTCTCGTTTGAGGCGTGCTCTGATGGACACCCAAAATACGTGTGGGGCTAAGTCAAAAATCTATTCAATTGCCTTGCATTTTCGAATTAAATTCAAGCACAATCTGTGACGATTTTTGAACCCGTAAAATCATAATTGAGTGCTGTGGATTGCAGCTGATTTATCTGATATATAACTCAAAGTAATATCAGAAATTTATTCAAATTAAACTAAAAATTTGTGTGCAGTTTGGGGCCGCCACCACTTCGATAGGCAGATACATAGCTAAATGCTTAGGTATTTATACAATTAGCTGGATATAAGCTCTACATATATTTGTTTTTAGTGGCTGGATATGTGCTGAATGCTGTGCTGCACTGCTTTGGACAGAGCGGCAGCTATAAATTGCCCGATTCCACGCGGAGGTGATTGAGAATCACACACACACACACACACACACACGCAGACACAAACACAAACTCATAAGAACACTCTCCAACTCTTACTCTTACTCCATTAAACTATTATCCTTAACTTACTCTCATTTTGTATGTTTTCTTTTCTGTTTTGTTTCAGTGCCAATCAGCCGCCGAATCTAACAGTATTATCAGGAACAGGCTCGATAACGGCTACCTCCTCCAGTTCCACGCCCATTGCACGCCAATCAAAGTCCGGCAGCGCCCTCAGTCAGGCCCTCTATGTGAGCCATGCCGCCGCAGGCTCCTCTGGTGGTGGCAACGGTGGTGGCAACGGTGCTGCCAGCAGCAGCAGCAGCACAGAGAACAGTGACCTGATGATCCGGCTGAGGGAGTCCATCAAGCAGAAGGAGGAGTTCCTTAAGTCACCGGTGCCCACCACCATCAGCTCAAGCTCCTCCTCCTCCACCAACACCCCTGGGACCAATGGCAATCAGGCACAATCGTCGCCGGCTCAACAGCAACAACAGAACAGCAGCAGCAAACGCCACAGCAGCATCAGCATCAGCATTTCTTTCCCTCACACACTCCGCCGGGAGTTGCAGCAGGTGCTCCAATTGCCCCACCGCCACGTGGTCGCCATCAGGTGCTCATGAAGCAGCAGCAACAGCAGCAACAGCAGGGGGTCGCCGGCAGCTTCGATATGTACTATGCAGGCGGAAAACTAGTGCAACGTTCCTCGACGGTGCCTATACAGGCATCGTCCAGCTCATCCACACATTATCATCACATCGCCCAGCTTCAGCATCATCCCCAGTATCAGCAGCAGCAACAGCAGCAGCAGCAGCTGCAGCTGCAGCAACATCCACAGCAACAACAGCAGCAGCGGCAGGTGCAGATGATCAATAACAATGCCAAGTATTCAAAGGATTTGGACTACTTTGAGACACTCCAAGAGACCGGAGTGACCAATAAAGTGTGAGTTTCATTTACAGTTACTCGGCTTATGCCACAGAACAAGCTTAGCTGTACTTATGGACTTTTTCTTTGCCGTTGCCACAGCTTTGAACGCAAACTGGTGTCCCATATGTCCATGGGTTTTGATCCCTTTAAGCCGCTGTCTATTAATACCAGCGCCTTGGAGGCGGCATCGGCATCCACAAGTGCAGCAGCAGCGGCAGCGGCTGCTTCGACTGTGAAAAAGCAGAGTGTCCTATACGAGTCATTGCAGCAGCATCCACTGGCCAAATACCAGCATCAGCAGCAGCAACAGCAGAGCACCAATACGGTGGATGGACAGACGAGCAGTCGCATGGAGCTGCACAAGGCAACGCTGGCCAATGCCACCATTGATGGCTCCGCTCCGTTGGTGGTTAACAGTGAGTCCTTGCCACCTCAATTCTTGGGAATTGCTAATTGAAATGCGGCTTTTCCGCTACTTTTCCTGTGACAGAGTTTAGCGCATTGGCGGAGCAACACCAGCAGCAGCAGCAGCAGCAGCAGCAGCAAGCCGGAGCCCCCCTGGCGGACATTTCCGAGAGCAGCAGCAGCACCAGCACCAGCAGCGGTAAGTCTTTGATTACATTTTGATCTGGACAATATTTCGCAGAAATTAATCCTCTCGCTCACTGCAGCAGCGGCGGCTGCAACGGCTGCTGGCAGCTCGAGTGCTGGTGTGATAAGACGCTATAAGCCGTTGTCCTCGAGCTCCTTTGACGAGGGCAAGCCAATGCGTCGCATTTCCTATTTGAGGGCCACCAATAACGAGACCGAATTCAATCCTGATGCAGCAGCCACTGGAGATGCAGCAGCAGCAGCAGGAGCAGGAGGAGTAACAGCAGCAGCAGCAGCAGGAACATCTGTTGCCGCCCCAGTTTCGATACCAATTTCAGTTGCAATACCCATTGTGACGGCTGCCGTTGTCGAGCCACAAAAGACCAAATCAATGGTTGAGGAACATCCCGATCCCACCTACGATGTGATTGGCGGCAACACTGGCGGTGGCCACGAGTTCATCGAGACACCGAACGGCCTCGAGGATGTGCGTCTATCGGCCCATGGCAGCAGTCGCAGGGCCTCTATGAGCAGCGATATGCGTAGCAGGTGAGTCTCTCCCCAAAAACATTTTCTACATTTCCCTCTGACTTAACGCTCATTTTCCGTTTATGCTGTTGTCCATTTATTAAGCATTCACATTGATGCCGAGCTGAATGGCAAGTATGTGCCCAATGAACTGGAGGCCTTTGAGACGGAAATCGAAATTAAATCCTCCTGCATCAATGGCAAGGTAAGGGCTAGACCAGATGTCGGCTAATGTTTATTAGCTATTTAATACGAGAGTTTTGCTTACTTTAATAATGGTCATGGATCATCGGATCATTTGGGTCAAGTGAAGACACATTTTAATTCGAACAGTTGTTGATTGTGGAGTCTGGTGCCTGGAGTGCCTGAAAATGAGTTAGTCAGCGATCTATTTGGGTTTATATGTGGGAGCTTTAGCTCCGATCTTTCCTTAGAGCTTAGAGCTCTCTCTCATTTCTTCAATGCTCATCGTGTGACATGCCCCTGACAATCTCTCTGGATATGTGCCGTCGTAGAGTCCTGCATTAACAGGCATTCGTATCGCTTCGTTGGGATTTGGTATTCGGCTCGTTTTTGGTCAGTTCGAATCCGCATCTAAGCTTTCGTATCTCAACAAAACGCTCGCTCAGAAAGTTCAGACCGAACGAAGCATTTATAGTGGATCTGTGTTGAATCCGCAAATTTCGGTTATTTTTTCTCGCTCACTCTGCAAAGACAACAGGAGCTCCAATTGAAGTCGAAGTCGATAGAAGTAGATTTTGATTGATTCCTACATTCATTGCTTTTATTTAATTTAATTTGCAATCTTTCAGCGCATGTCCGAGTACCGTTCGTGGCGTCAGGTGAAGCTGGAGATCAAGGGCGATTTGCTGCGCATCTTCTCAGGGCGTCATGCCAAGTCGGAGCACAATGTAAGGGCAATTGGACAATTGAAAACCAAAACGCAAATCTATATATATTTTAAATAATTTCTCATGTGTCGCTGCAGGTGATAGAACTTGATATTAGAAACTTTAAGTTCTTCGATGAGTCGCTGGACAAGAAAAAGTACTTGATACGCATGCAGTCGAAGCCATCGCCGAGCGGTGCCCATTTGGCGAGTCTCGGCAACGAGTTGAATCTGGACGATGTACACGACAAGTTGACCTCATCGGGCAGCAGCAGCGCCAATGAACCAATGGCAGCATCCTGCAGCAGTGGCACTGGCACTGGCACCGGAACTGCCACTGGCACTGGCGGCGGCCCCTATACGGAGATACTCTTCAAGACAAAGAACAGCAACGAAATGAAGCGACTCTTTGGGTTGCTGCAGTGGAAGGATAGCCTCAACTATGATGATAATGTAAGCCCCACCAGCTTTCAGTTTTTGTGTGTTTTTTCATAGTTAATTTGTGAATTTGTCTTCCCTTTCCCTGCACTTCAGGAGCAGCCGCTGCAGGGCAAACAACTGGCAGAGCCACAGAAGACGGTGGCCACAGCCAGCCACTATCTGGATGATGTGACCGGTGGAGCTGGCGTAGATAGCTCTCCGCTGAGCTCACATTCGGGTGGCGGTGGCGGTGGCGGCGGCATGGCGGAGGGTCATCATCATGTGGCTGCGCTGCCTGCTGCCGCGGCAATTGTGGCCGCCACCAGTGACTCAATATCGCCGGTAATGAAGGCCCGCAAATCGTCCTCGCACAAGCATTTGCCCGACAAGGATCTGGGATCACCCAAGTCGAAGAACTGGAAGGATTTGCTCTTCCGTCGAGGCGGTGGCAGTGGCAGTGGCAGCGGCGGTGTCTCCCACCATCACACCGATCTGGGCTCGCCCTCGTCGTGCGCCATCAAGACGTGTGGCTCCATTGGGGTGCCACTGCGCAGCTGTCCGATGTCCAAGCTTAATCCGTATGTCCCCCATCTGGTGGAGGTGTGCACCAACATTGTGGAGACCAAGGGTCTGAGTGTGGTGGGCATCTATCGGATACCCGGCAATAAGGCGGCCATTTCCGAGCTCTCGGAGCTGGTGAACACCAAGGACTTTCAGTTCGAGAGCTGTGCGATCGATGTGCGATGGGAGGACGTGAATGTGGTGAGCAGTCTGCTGAAGCTGTTCATACGCAGCCTGCCCGACGCCCTCATGCCGGCCAGCTACTACATCAACTTCATTGAGGCCGACAAGAAGCTCGGCCTGGAACGGATCGTACTGCTGCGGGAGATTGTCGAGTCGCTGCCACGCCATCCGTACGAGACGATGAAGCATCTGATACGCCATCTGTGCCGCGTCAGCGACAATTGTGAGGTGAATCGCATGGAGCCGAAGAATTTGGCCATCATATTTGGCCCCTCGATCATACGGACACCCAATGACACACTCGAGACGGCCGTCAAGGATATGAAGCATCAGTGCCGCATCGTTGAGCTGCTCGTTACACAGGTGAGGTTACATTTACACGATGCCAAATATATCTAGCAGAGAATTAGTTTGCGGTTTGGCAAAACATTCAGGCAAAAGCAGCTATAAATTGCAACATAAATCATATAAGTAGAGTCGCGGCAACAGAAGCGGCTCACAGCGTTCCCTTTCCGAGATTCTTTTCCTGCTATTGAATGCGAAAAAAACTCCAGCTGCAATATTTTCTTAACCATATAACAATATAAAAATCCAAGGCATAATTTTAACATAATTTAAAATTATATTTTGCTTACAGTATGAATACTACTTTGAGGGCGGCAATTTGCCGGATCTGGCTGATGTTAGTGGTGGCACGGCCATGGCCAGTGCCGCCCAGCCGCAGCATCAGACGCAGGAGGATCAGACGAGCATGCTGCTGCACAATCTATCGAAAATCGAGAGGATCACTGAGCGTGAGACGCGCACATCCCGGTTCATTCCACAGCTGCGTCGTCGCACCCATGGCAAGCGGAGTGCCGTCAATTCGGACACATATTCGGGGGAGAGTGTTCTGGTAAGCAGCGGTAGACCGAGCAGCAGCACCATCTCCACTTGCACCAACACCACCACAACCACCACCACCACCACCACCACCACCAATCACAAGACCATACAACAAAGACGACAGCAGCGCAAGGCTGTGCAGAGCATTTGTGACTTTGCTTTAATCCTGCCCGCTCCTCCCCCATCTTCCGTTCACTTTCAGTCGCTGGACTACACCAAGGTCTCGGCCAGCAGCACCAGCAGCAGCTCCACGCTGCATAGCAGCAGCAAGACCACCACCAACACAGCCTCCTCCTCCTCCACCACCAGTCAGAGCCAGAGTCAGAGCCACAGCCACAGCACAAAGTTTAGCTCGGGCGGCGCCACGAGCTCCACGACAACAGCCGCCACCATAAAAGCGGCAGCTGCGTCCAAGGCATCATCCGCGGCCTCCCTGATAGGCACCAAGAAGCGCAGCACCATGGGCGGCGGTGTGGGGTTCCTCGGCGGTGGCTCGCGCTCGCAGACGCGCAAAGCGAGCCTGGACGAGAAGGACTCTGGCACGAGCGTGGACTCTGCCGGCAGTCTGGCCCTGAGCCTCGGCCTGGGTCTGGGCCTAGGACTGGGACATGGACATGGACATGGCAAGGAGCAGCAGCAGCGGAGCAGCGTGGACATATCCATACTCCTCACCGACGATGACTCGAGCAGCAGGCTGAGCGACACAGGTAGGTCTCCTCTGCTGCTCCAGGAAGGGGATGAACCTCTGTCTTACTCACTGCCTTCGATGTTCCCTCGCATTTAGGTTCCATGTCGCTGACCACCATCACGGATACGCTGGACAGCAAGCTGCGGAATCTACGGAGCGGCTCAGAGTCAAACGATGAGAACGGTTCACCGGAATTCCCCAAGAATCGCCGGCACACGCTCGGCCAGCCGCTGCATCTGCACTCCGAGAACATTCCGTATGCGGATGAGTCGCCCGAGCGGCTCTTCCATCAGTTCTGCCCCCTGGATGCACCCCATTCGCTGCACCTGAGCCGCTCCTGCACGGCCACCAACACGTTGGGCGCTGAGGAGAAGCCCACGACCATGAAGCAGGCCATGGCCATGGCTGGCGTGGCACCACTGCCGCCCAGCCTACTGAAGGCGGCCCACAAGCTGCAGCACTCGGCCACGGTGCCCATACACCAGATACAGATACATCAGGGCAGCGCCACGGCACCGGCCAGCGGAGCTGCAACGCCCACCAGCGCCAGCACGGGTGGGGGCTCCACCCCAGTGGCGGGTACACCCACCAACAGTGCTGGAGGCGGAGCAGCCACAGTGGGGGCACAGCGCGGCTCTGGAGGAGGAGCCGGGAACCCGAGCAGCGGCAAAAATATGCACCTGAGATTCAGCACATCGCAGGCGTACGAGCGACATCATGGCGCTGGTGCTGGTGGTGGCGGTGTCGCCTCCGAGGACGACGATTCGGAGGGTTCGACAACCAGCGATCCCAAGGAGAAGCTACTGCTGGCGGGCGAACGACCATCGCCCTCGTTTTTTCTCGAGCGCTACAACAAGAAGCGTCGGGACCATCGGCTCTTTCGCAGCGCCAGCTTCAACTGTCGCAACTATTCGACACGACACATGAGCAGCAGCAGCTCCACGGCGGCCGGAACGGCAGCGACTGTGGCAACGGTGGCCGCCTGCTGTCAGTCACCATCATCGGCCCTGGCCACCGGCCTGACCAAGGACGAAAAGACTGACATGAATCTGACCAAGAAGCGCCAGATCCAGAATAAGCAGAATCGTTCCATCAAGCGACGCCACACCGTTGGCGGCCCACACGACTACTCGGCCAATGGGGGCTGCAGCACACACGGACATGGCGATGGTGGCCATCGCCATGGTGGCCACGATCTGGCCGCCATCAACTACAATCACCACAATCGCCATCACCAGCAGCAGCTGCTCAAGGGATCGGTTGTGGTTGTCGGCGTTGGCGGCAATGGAGCTGCCGCTGCGGAGACCACAACCACAACGACTACAACCACCACGGTGCTGCGTCGCCTGGGCTCGGGTACGGCATTGGGAACGGTTTCGGGTACGGGTACGGGTGCGGGTGCGGGTGCGGGTGGTGTGGCCAGCGATCCGATTGTGGCATTGCCCGGCGGCTCTGTGTCCAGTTCTAGCAACAGCAACAGCGGCGGCAGTGGCGGCTCCTCTAACAGCAGTACCAACAACAACAATTCGCCACAAAGCGATGGCAGCAATGGCAATGCAGGAGGAGGAGCAGGAGTAGCAGTAGGAGGCGGCGGTGGAGCTGCCTCCAATGCCCCACCATCATCCGGAAGTAGCAGCAGCAACAGCAACAGCAGCACACCCACCAATGTGGTGGCTGGCTCCGCTGCAGGAGTAGGAGTTGGAGGAGGAGAACAAGTCCTGGAGTTGGGCATTCGCATCAAAAATATCAATCGCGGACGCTACTAGAGCGGATGTGGAAGAGATGATTTGGAGCTTATAGCAGCAGCAGCAGCAGCAAACACACAGTTTAAATTAGTATTACATAATGGTTTATATATATATCTATATATATATATAGAGATATGTATACATATATATGTATGTTGTATGTGTATATGTGTCTATGTCTATGCAGGGATCGATGATGGGGAGTTGTGTTCGAGAGTTTCAAATTCAACAAATTGTAGGGCTGTAGGGCACGCACACAGATAACCCGATAGCATGATACTAAAGGTAATCTGACCCAAAAGAGACCAACACCAGAAGTAGAAACAAATCAAGAGTGCATAGGAGTACATTCTATTTAGATCTTAGATCATTAATGGGCACTCGAAATGAAAGAGAGATACAACTCCCTAAACGAATGCAAACAAAACAAAAACAAAAAACAAAAAACAAAAACCACAAAAGAAATCCTAGATAACAAATGTTTCAGGAGAATCGATTATATTTATTCGCACACTCAAACACACACAAAAACAAAATATAAATATAAATATGCTACATACACATGTATATGGGAAACAAGGCAAGCGAACGGACGGAAGAAACGACGAACGAGTGGATATACAGAGACAGAGATAGAGATACAGATACAAAGAGAGAGAGACAGCGAAATAGAAAGAGATAGACAGAAAAAGCGAGAGAGAGAGAGAGAGGTGATTGGGGTGATTGGAGGCGTGAGAGATAACTATTTTGTAAACCGTATACACAGTACAGTAAAAATGAAAAACCATACGCATAAATAACCTTATAGTATATACACTATATATACTATACATATATATTTGTAATATTATCATACATAACGAATGCAACAAATTGTTAACCATATACACCCACCCACACACACACACACAAACACGCATTATTCTATACATATATACCTATGTGGAAATGCATATGTCGCCTGTCTGTCTGTCTGTCTAGCTGTGTTGTTTTTTTTTTTTTTTGTTCCTGTGCCCGTGCCCCCCTTCCTATCACCCACCCACCCCATCCACCTCTCGTTATCCAAAGTCTCCTATTTATTGTATGTTTTGTTTCGTCTGCATGTAATGTGTGTGTGTACCTGCCATAAGAAAGAGAAATATGGATGAAAAAAAAAAAAGGATTCAGTGCATAAAAACCATTTTTGGTGCCTTAAATTATTTGCTTTAACATTTTATCAAAAACCGTCGTTTGTTTATGTATAGAAATTTGTTTTGAATTAGCGAAAATTTAATTTGTTTATACATATATTTTTTTTTGGAGTCATGAAAGGTGCTGCCAGAAGCATGAGCCTAAGCTGAGGGTGCAAAATGAAACAGATTTAATATAGATTAATCTATATGTATACAATATATTTTAAAGTAAATTTATGTATGTTTGTTCCAACCTCAGGCTGAGAGGATACATCACCACCCACCCGCCCCCAGACAGGCGACATTTGAGCAACAATATTAATATTAATATTAATATTTGGGTTCAAAATGATGCATACTTGATAAACAGAGATAATATATTTGATACAACAAAAATATAGACTCATTGTACGAGAAACGGCATAAATTTTATATATATTTTATGATATATTTTTTGTGTGGTTTGTATATGATTCTTTTTTGTTTGTGTTTTTTTTTTTTTGGATAATGAGAAGAAAGGAAAGAAATTGAATGTATGAATAATTAAGAAATTAGCTTATAGTTGTGTGTAGTATTACATACAGATATAGATACACACACAGACACACACACACACACACACATTGTATAGTATATATCCCCCCCCCCCCCTTGTTTTATTTAAATTAATTTACTGTATATACAATTTATTTTCATTTTAATTTTATGATTTCATTTCTCCTTTTTTCCCCATTACATACATACATATATACAAATATATATATATTTTTTACGCATTTTGTTTTGTTACCCGATACGGAATGGACATGTAGAAAGCGAAAGGGATAAAGAACGGAGAGAGAGGAGAGTAGGAAACGAATGATATAAATGAAACAAACCCCCAAGCGCGTAACGTTGCTATATAATTATTATTACAAAATAAAAGAAAACCAATTTTTTGTTAGAGTTTAGGTAGTTATTTTTTAAAAATTGTATTTTCTATTATTATTATTATATATATATGTACATATATGTATGTACATCTACTATACTGTATACTGTATGTATATGTGTATATTGTATTTTTATTATGATTTTTTTTCAAACAACAAAATAAATGTGGATTTCTATAATTCTATAAATGACGACACAATAAAGAGAAACAACAACAAATATTAAGAATAAATGTACAAGAATAAACCAGAAACAAGACAATTTGTATGTACTTATAATTTGGAACTCTAGTAACTCTACAGATAAATCCAAGTAACGTGAACTCTAACCTTAAACAATGATAATGTACAAATAATGGCAATCAGTCTGGGGTGTTCACAGATGGTGATGAAGGGTGTGGTTGTGTGTTGCTTTAGAGTTTGGCCTGTGGACCCGTTCCCGAGATCTTGTAAACAAATTCGTGGGCCACATCGTAGTGGGGATTACAGTTTTGGCGCACGCGCTTCAGCCATGCACGGATCTTGGGATACTTGATCCTCACATCGTAATCAGCCATGCCTAAGGTCACACAGAGAGAGACAGAGAGAGAGAGAGGTTAAGAAAGTACACTCCAAATTCAAATCCAAGCCACTTACGTGTCTGCTCAATCTCACAGGCTGCAAATATATCTGCGACGCGTAGCGTGTTTCCAGTTAAGAAATCACTGCTCTCCAGCCACACCTCCTCGACGACATCCAGATTGCGTTCCATATGCATGCGCATCATCTCGATCTTGGCCTCGGTGGGCGTGCGGCCAGTGAGCAGCGGCTCCAGCCACACGGTGCGGAAGTACATGGCACAGGTGAGCCGCAATGAGATGTGGTGCCACTCGAGGAACTCATCCACGCGACTCTGATCAACAAAGTACTTGGGATACAGATGCTCGGGTATCTGGCCCTTGGCACTGAGATACCGCAGTATGGCCACGCTCTCGGCCAGCTTGTTGCCATTGTCGTTGATGCAGGGCACGCGCTGGAAGCGGTTTATATCGCGCTTGAAGTCATCGGTCAAGTGTTCGCCTGTGGACAAAGTGCAAAGATTAGATTTGAGCTACATATGATTAGGGGGCAGCACACCCACCATTCCTCAGGGCGACCACACGGTCCACAAAGGGCATGCCGCTCAGGCGAAATATGATGAACAAAGCCCGCGAGGGCTGTGACATGAGGTCGTAGTAGTACTTGATCGGCGACATCTTCAGGTTCGTTGTCTGCCTGGTGGGAGCTGCACAAGAAAACAGAATAAACAGAATTGCAACAACAGTCCAAAGATCACACAAATAATTTCTCCTCTCCCCATAGACGACATCCCCAGCCTAGCCAGTAAAGCGGCCTCAATTGGCCGCTGCCAGTCAGCCAGCACTCACCAGAAGCACAGTTGTTCGAGTGTGGCCAAGCAAAGGCAAAGCTCAGCCAGCAAAGCTTTGCTCATAGATCCACAAACAGAGTTGAGAGCGTGCGTGAGAGCATGAAAGCATGAGAGCGTGCGAGCATGAGAGCGTGAGCTTTGAGTGCGTGCGTAAACACGCAGAGCTTTGCGATAGTCAAAACGCCGCCCCTTTTAACTAAAAGCTTTACAAAATGTACCGGCTGGGCTGGCTGGCGTGATCTTTTGCTCTGTCGCAGAGGAACGGAACGGGCAGATGGACGGCGCTTGAAAAGAATTCAATGCACAGTGGACCAAAAATGTTTATTCTTTGTAATTTTATATGGAAAGATCTACTTTAATATCTTTTGTCAATTGAACAGTTTAAGCTTGTGGAATTTTTATGCACTGCTTCCGACGAAGATTAATTAAAACTCAGTTATCAAGCCCAAAGACCGAAACATGATATTGTTTGTGGAGTGCAAAAATTCCATTAACACAAGCTAAAGTGCGACATTCAGTTCACATAAATCACAATGATTATGGTATGGCCCACAGCCCATGGGCTAATGGCTGCATCGAATATAGGATCACACCATATTTATCTACATATGGCTTATGCGTACCGAGTGGGAAAACGATAGCGCGGGGTGTTATGGATCGTAGATAATATGCAAAAATGAAACTCACTTTTTGCCCTTTTGCTTTCCTCAAAGGCCATTTGCAGGTGGTGCTGCTGCTGCTGCTGCTGATCCTCCGATCCTTGGCTGAGGCCCAGCAAAGTTGCCAAACGCGACGACGACATTCTGTGTGATGTGATCTGATGTGATGTGAACACGACTCGCTGCCTGTGCGGAATGGTTTGATTGCAGCTGCAGCGGTGCCACTTATATACCTCTGTATACTAGTACATATGCTAGTAAAATTGGACGCTTGTCGATCTGATGCAACGATACCGACCGAATACACAGAATATGCGAATGCGAATGGGAATGGGGAGGCAAGTAAACAGTAATGGAATTAAAAGCGCAGGGCGAAATAGCGGCGCAAGTAAGTGTGCGATGTGCGATAAGACGGTTTCCCCCTACTGCCTAATCATTCGATCCATTCATACACTTCCCGCCTCCCCGGGTAACATATGGCAATGGCACACTCCACCTGCCCACTCGTCACTTGTTGTTATCGATCAAGATTCGGGCCCATTGGCAACCGTGAGAGTGTACAGGAATAGCAGCAATATATGTATGTATGTATGACCATACCGAGTGTAGAGTTTCGAGGAAGGTCCGCGCCCAGCCTTATCGCTTGATAGTGCGAATTTTTGTTTATTTGTTTACCTCTGGTTGCCATTGGGATTGGAGGATAATCAGCTGATGGAACTGGTTTTATCATACAGAGAAATATCAAATAAAATCAAATCAAATCAAATAGAATAAAAATAAATAAATCAGCTCATATTTCCGCTCACCCAAAAAGTTATTCTATTTTGATTGCTTTTTATCGTATAGGTATAGTATTTGGTATTTATTGATTTCATTTTAAACATGTTCTTTGTGTTGTTCATTCATTTGCTTTGCTTTGCTTTTGTACTTGTATATACATATATATTAATAAACATATATATATCCAACCATATAATATAACAGACATTGCCAGCAAAGTATATTCCCCATATCATATGATAATAAACCAATTTTTATATTTCTTCATAAGACATATACCAAGCAGGACACCACTCCATGTATAGGATTTCTGCCACGGCTTCCGCAAATCGGGTGTTTTTAATTGCGAGTGATGATATTTCATATAAGCTGAATCCAGTTGAATCCTTCAGCTTCTGGACACTCAGAATCCATATCAGGCCACCAAAGGTCAGGTGACATGGAGCTGCGTGCATTGATGTCATCCTCCCGTGCTCATGTTCGACGAAGCCATTGCCAAGGATTCAATTATAAAATAATCAAACAAATTGATTGAAGTGGCGGGTTGTAGCAATGTGCATTCGTCTTGCATAAACATTGTCGGATTTACTCGTGCACACAGGCACATGCCAACGATGGATCTCCAGATTGGCATCATGGAGCCAAAATCTTCCAGGCGATGAGGAAGGACGGTGTTGACTGGTATCAAATTTTTCGCTATTTATTGACTATTTTTTTATTTTTCATTGCAGGTGTGACGGGGAATTGGCTGCTTGGGTATATATTATATGCCATTGTAATTGAGATAAAAATCAGATATAAAAGCAAATGATTTATTTCTCGGCTCTGGTACTCTGCTGACAAAAAGGTACATTTACAAAGAGAGTTGTCTGAGTTTCTGTTATCGCATTAATTGCGTCGTATAAAGATACATACACATATACATATATGGGTAATCCACAACATTTATACTCGGTGTAGAGATAGAGAGATCACACAGGGAGGAAGGTAAGAATACATACATATGTACATATATAATCCATATATCTATATAATATGTGTGTGTGTTTGAATATATTTATATAAAAAATAAATTACAACTAAAATAAAAACAACGACAATTTGAAGTTTTCGCTTGGGGTTTGCGCGCTTTTTTCTTGCGCTTTTTGGTTGGGTTGGGTTGGGGATTCGGTTGGGTTTGATTCGGTGAGCTGCTTATAGAGGATATTTTATAGACACCCATATAGACCCATATTTATCTATGGAATAATAGTACATAATTGTTTTTATTCTCTCGACTTATTGTTGTTTTGATTGTTACATTCATTTGGTTATGTTTCGCTGGTACAGAGTTTTAGGCTTGAGTTAAGATTCAGATCTCTCATTTTGATTATTATTCTTTGTACATAGTTATATATGTATCGTTTCGTATATGTATGCATCTTGTTGTTTGTTTTGTAAAGTGCTTTTCATTTCATTTGCTTTCTTCTTTTTTTTTTTTTTGTATTCCTTAATTGCATTCCAATTTCATTTTGTGTCGCTTCATTAATTGGAATTTGCCACATTTTTTTCAAACACTGTCCAACACTTATTTGAAATGCACTGTGTATATGTTTATAGTATTTGTATGTATGTATATATTCATAATTTGATTTGCCTTTGATATTAGCGTGATAATTACATTGCACTAATTTGATACTCAATATCGTAGTATATCGTATATCGAATACATATGTGTATATTCATACAAGTTAGGTATATCTTCTGCCCATACATGCAAAAAAAAAAAAAACAACAGTTATGTGCCACATCAGTTTCCTATACAGTATACAGTAGATATATGTATATATAAGATTTCAATCGTTTCCATTGATTTTGTAGAGTCTTTTGCATTGTCAGCCCCTGGTTTGGTTTCCGTTTCTTATTTGTTTTTTTTTTTTGTGGGGATATGCTTGAGAAATGTTTGGGTTTTTTTTTTTTGTAGGAAGAACAGCTTACATTCATATAAATACAGTTACGTTTACATTTAGAGTCGCATGTTGCACGTGGCATGTTGCATGTACATGTATATACTTTATAAAGAAGACATCGAGTGAGAAAACAAAACGTATCTCCTATGCATACTATTTATTGTTGCTTGTTGCCATCTGCTGTGATGTTTTTTTTCTTTTTTGGTTTCTTGGCTGTTTTTGTTTTATTTTTATCCATTTTTGGCAAACGAAATTTGACTGACGATCTGAACTACGGATCTAGGAATAATTCTCTACATAATCCATACGCTAGCTATGGTTCTACTGGTCTACTATTTACTATTATATATTTTGTTTGTTTGTTTGTTCTCGCCCTCTCTACTTGTTCTCGATGATCATCTGCAGCTGCAGAACGAGGCTCCGGGCCAGCTGGAGCACTGCCTGAGCATTGTGACGTTCGGCCATTTCTGCAAGAGAATTCGCATAGAATAACGGCATATAATACGAGTATTGGGCAGCAAGCAGCATACCATTAAAGAACTTGATGACATCGGTAAAGTCCATGCTGTTGGACAGTATGATGTCGCGATAGGTCTCCAGCAGGGCCAGCGCCAGAAAGAGCACAAAGTGCCCAGAAGCTATATGCTTGGCAGCCCAGATCACCTCCCAGGTGGCAAAGACATCGTCGTAGACGAGCTCCCGCTTAAAGTCCAAGAGGAACCAGCGGTAGCAGAAGTAGAAGTGCGTATAGTCCCCATTCGAGTCCATCAGATCGTACATCTCCGAGTCGAGGATTTGTATGAGGGAACTGCCATTGAGAATATTCAATTATAAATGTAATAAAATATTAGGATAGGGATGGGGATAGGGATAGGGATATACCCACCGCATATTGGCAAAGTGCATGTCCATGGCACCGCCGCTGGGAAAGTTCTCGATCATGCGCTCCATGAGCTTGCAGAAGCAGCTGTAGCTGAGCGACTCGTCGTCGAAGATGACCAGCAGTGGGGCCACCAGATCGCACATGCCCTGCATGTAGCCCACGTCCAGATGCTCCCACACATACGTGGATATCACGTTGCGCAGCTTGTCCAGATTCTCGTTGGCAAAGTACCAATAGTTGCGATCGCATCGCTGCACATCCTTCTCGATCCGATGCAGATTGAGGCCAAACTGTTCGAGCAGCTCACTCTGTGGATCATAAAGGGTGCAAGCCATGTATACATACCTATATATCTGTATTTGGGGTGATGTTCTGGGATGCTACTTACACTGTAGACACCGCCATTGGAGCTGGCTGGCGAGGCGCAAGCTGATTTTGGCTGCTGCAGGGCATCCAGGACCGCCGCCGCCGCCGCCTGCTCCTGGACGGGTGACATCTGCTGACTGTTGCCCCCCTTGGGACTTCGCTCCCAGTTGGCAATATCCACCGAGGCGTTGGTGATAATGACAGCTGCCTGCTGCTGCTGTTGCTGCTGCTGCGGTGGCTTCACCTCCTCCTCCTCCTCCTCCTGCTCGTCCTCGGGCAGCTGCAGATCATCGGCGCTGAGGTACTCCGGACTGAGAACGCTGCGGCTGCGACTGTGACTGTCGCTGGGCTGGTGGACGTTGCCGCCGGCTCCTACCGTCTCGTAGGAGGAGGCTGTCGAGGTGGAGCAGCTGGCTATGGCTGGCTCGGCATTGATTTTCTCCTGCTGCTCCTGCTCGGCCTCCTCATCGAGCTCATTGAAATTCTCACCCTCGTCCACATGGCCCGAGTCTGTGCTGGTCTTCATGGCCCTTGGAATGGGCTTTACGCACAGATGCATGCCACTAACGGATACCTCCTCCTGCTGCTGCTGCTGTTGCTGTTGCTTTTGCTGGATCTGCTGCTGCTGCAGCTGCTGTTGCTGCTGATGTTGCTGTCGCTGCTCGTCATCGAACTCCAGATCGCCCGGATCGGATATGTCTGAGATATCCTCAAACACTTCGTTCTCCAGCTCGCCACCCGCCAGATCGAGATCGGCGGCACGCACCGTCCGCTCGTTGCCGCTGTTGCTGCCACTGGAGCTGAGCTTGGCCACCGCCCTGGCGGTCTTCTCCTTCTCCCGCTGCTGCACAATGGCATCGACGGCCAGCCACTCGCTCATCGTTGTCTCGTAGTAGTGCTTGCAGGTCTCGTCCTGTTTCTTGCGCTCCTCGCGACTGGAGCCAAAGGCGTAGTGGCCCAGCAGATAGGGCCACACCTCCTGCCGCAGCTCTGGCTGCACGCCGCCAAAGTAAACCAAGCGATAGAACTCAGTGGCATTCTGCAGCACACCATTCACATTGAGCAGCTGCCAGCGCTCCCTTGTCAGACCCTCCTCATCGGCCTTCACTGGGGAACAGCAACAACAGGAGCATATTAAAAAGGATTCAATGGGGAACTGCTTGGGGGCGGGCGCACTCACTTTCTGGCGTTATGCGGCCATGCACCAGGCCCGACAGATGCGTCCGCACTGTGGATAGATGACGGCAGTAGGCCAGCCAGCCGTAGAAGGCACGCGAGATGATCTGTCGCCGCATCGTGGAGCAGACCATCTCGATGCTGGTGTTCTGGGCGTGCTGCTGCTGCAGCAGCAGCGGCGACTCCAGCGGATACTGATCGATGGAGAGGCTCTTGTTCGAGCAGTCACTGCTGCCGGTGGTGGAGCAGCTGCTCAGCTGTGCGCGACGCGGTGTGCTCCGCACAAAGTCCAGTATCGAGTGGGTGGCAGCTGTAAAAAGAGACACAGATCGGATGTGAGCTGCGCTCCTCGCCGGGCAGATTCCGCTGGCGGCCTCTACTCACCGAATTCCTCGTGCCTGCTCTTGCTGACAATGCGAAAGACATAGTCGATGGGCGTCTCGTCCACAGACTCCATAACGGACGGCAGAATGCGGCGGCGCATGCTCTTCGGCCAGAGGAACATCTTGCCAATGCCGCGCTGTGACCAGAGCGGCGGATCCAGCTGTCCGTGCGGCAGCAGGCCCGTCTCCAGGCAGCTCAGAAACTGCTGCATGTGCCCGCCCTCCGGGAAGTGTATGGGCGGACGCTGTACGCCATCCTGGCCCACCAGGATGACGGTGCCGCCGCTGTCCTCGCCCCTGCTCTGATGGCAGTGCACATAAACGATTTCGTCCACATTGATGTTGAGGGCGTACGCCCAGAAGGCCTCCTTGTCGATGTCCTCGCCCTCGTCCGCCGCCTCGTTGTAGCCGTTCATCAGCTGATTTGGCGTCCACTTGATGGTCAGCGTTTGGATGTGCTGATGCAGACTGAGGTAGCCGGCCATCGGTTCGGCCACATCCTTGGGCAGCACATGGACATTGTTCTTGCCATAGAGCAGCGTCGCCTTGGCATTCTGATGCAGCGACTCCACATAGTCCTTGGCCACGCTGGCCGATGCCATTGACTTGAACGACCCGGTGCTGGCCTCATCCGAGCTGGTGTTCAGGCTCCGCTTAAAGTTAATGATCGCCGGCCGCGAGCAGGTCGAGGACGAGCGGCGACCCGAGCTAATGCGATGCCGTTGCACCTGCAATGGGGGAGAGAGAGAGAGAGAGAGAGAGCGGTGCATAAAGTTACCAGCCCAAGGGGTGGGCTCGGCTGTGTGCACTCACCAGCTCATCCGCATGCGGATCGGTCCAGTAATGATCGGCTGTCTTGGCCCGGGTAAAGTCGAGGGCACAGGGCCCCACCAGCAGGGAGCTGAGTATCGATCCATAGTCGGAGTCGGCCACCAGGGAGTCGCGATCGTAGTAGCTGCTGGCATTGCCCACCAGATACTCGATGATCTTGGTCAGACGCTTCTCGTAGAGGGCCAAACGTATCCACAGATACTTCAGGCCGGCCAGCGAAATGCTCGAGCCGCTGCCACTGGCCACGGAGGAGGTGGACGCAATGCCGATGGCATTGCTGCTGCTGCTGGCCGACTGCATCGAGTTGCTGCTGCTCTTCTTTAGCATGGGCGGCCGCTGGAAGCTGTCGCTGCTGGAGGAGGAGCGTTTGTTCGGATCCATGGCCTCGATCTCCTGCACCAGCTTGCTGATGTGCTCCGCCTCGGGGCAGCTCTTGGCGATCTTGTGCAGCAGGGCCGTCGTCGAGGAGGTCTTGAACAGGCCCAAGGCGCGACGGCGCAGTCCCTGGCTGAGGCAGGCCTCCACGGCGCCGCACAGCGACGTCACCGAGCTGCTCTCCTCGTGCACGTACTTCTTGGTCACCGCCTCCTCCATCAGTTGCTTCACCTCCTTCTTGACGCTGGCTATCAGGCGCTCCTTGTAGTCGCAGCCATCTGGAATAACCGAGTCCATCATTATCACCCGTCTGCTGCTGCAAAGTGAATCTCATGGTGAGTAAAAACCGCCCCCCCACGGGGCCTTTAAATGAAATCACAGCGACAACGCCCCCCAAATGTCAAAATGGACTCCTGCCTGCTGCCCCCTGCCAGCAGCTTTGTGTGTGTGTGTGTGTGCCCCACATCCTGCCTGCACTCTGAAATTCAATATGTTGAACATGTTCCAGCTGACAGCCCACCCCCCAATCAACAGAACGAACACACAGCGGCAGATCCTTCATCCCCTGCCTACTGACTACCAGCTGGCCTGCCCTGCCCTGCCCTGCCCTGGCCTGGCTGCTCCTCCAAAATGTTGACCACTTTGGCGCACAAGCACAAGCACAAATGCTAATGGCATTTGCACTCAAAATTCATGATGTCCTACGGCTCTCCATGGATAATTTCATTTTTATTTTCATTTTCATTAATTGTTTTCCATTTAGAGGGCTGACAAATGGTGCAACAGCCCATACAAGCGCAGGTACACAGAGATACAAAAAAAACTGTGATGAATGATAAATAATTGAAGGTGGAGAGTGGAGGGTGGTGGCTGGTGTAGCTTCAGGCATTCAGGTGCAGCAGCAGCAGCAGGAGTATGGAACTCCGGATGAATTACGAGCAACAGCTAAATGTGGGCTAGGGCAAAAGGTCACACGATGCAAATTGCAATAAATATGTCATGCAAAAGTCAGCAGTGAAGAATGCTGCTAAAGCGGAACAGGGCTTATATGAATTTATATGAATATTTATGCATATACTCGTATGCACATACATAGGCGTATATATGTATGTACCTACATATCTGCAGGCATGTCTGCAAAGTTAAACAATAGAATAAACTAAAAAAACAAATGCCAGAGGGATGAGGAGCACATTTATGCACTTGATACTGCCCAGAAGAGTTAGCTGATCCAACATTAATTTCATTTGGCCAATTTGTGTGTTGCTTTCTCGCTCTAGCTGCCAGCAAATCCGAATGCAGAGTGAGCGTGAAAAAATAAACGAAATTTTAGGATTTAATGCAGCAAAAGTAAAGTGAAGATGCGAAGCGTGCGAGGTTGGGGGAGTCGATATGCCACAGCATTGACTTTTCGGTTTTAGGGTTTCAACCCTGCCCCCCTCCAAATGCACTTCCAGCCAGCAGTAAAGTCATGTCACCAGCTGCGTGTCGAGCTCATTATGTGTGTGTCCTTTCCACGTTTTAATGTTGATGACGATGATGTGGATGTGGATGTGGCAGCAGTCCTGCCATAAGGCATGGGGGTGGCGGCGACACAGTGCTGTTGTCTGGGACGCCGACCGAGTTGTCGCCAGGCCATGTCCTTGCCAATGGCTGGGGCTGTGGCTGTGGCTGGGCTGGGGCTGTGGCTGGGGCTGTGACTGTGCCTGTGTGGCTCGGAAAGATGGCTGGCTGGATGGCTGGCACGGGGCTTCCCCGCTTTAATTACAGCTCTTTTGTTGCACCATTTTCACTGTGGCTGTGGCTGTGTGCAACATCGCTTAGGTTTTATGTGTCACACACATGCAATTAGCATTTAAATGGTCAGCGGGGAGGAGGCATCAAAGTTTTAATAACTTAATTTTTGCACTGGCAAGGGGAGCCGGCATGAGGGCAGCTGGCAAATGCAAATAACACAAGAGAGCAGTAATGTAGCCGACTTGGGGCAGCTGAGAGCAAAAGTTAGTTCTCTGTTTCTATTTGTCTTTTGTTGATTTGTATAATTATTTGCATCTCTGTTTGCCCAGTGACCCGTGACCCACCCCATTGTTGACGCTGCACAAATGAAAGCAAATACAATGGATAATTGTGACTGCCCCAAGTACAGCCATACTCCATCTCCATGCCCATGCCCATTGCTTTGCTGATGGTTCGTCCTACTCCTGCATTGGACATTGGATCTGGTGACAAAGTGAACTTTGAAACCCATTGGGGAATGGCCAGCGTTGACAGGAGTTGCAGCAGCTGAAATTGGAGTAGAGAAAGGAGCAGAAGAAAGAAGCAGGAAGGAACAGCAGGAGCAACAGGAATGAGCAGCAGGAGCAGAAGTAGCAGCAGGAAGGAGCAGCAGGAAGGAGCAGAAGGAGCAGCAGGAAGGAGCAGTAGGAGCAGCAGGAAGGAGCTGCAGGAATAATGAAAAGGAGTAAAGCATCTGTAACTAACCGGAGGAGCAGCAGAGACAAGGATACACAATGAGTGGGGGCGAAAGGAGCAGAAGGCAAGGCAAGGCAAGCAGCAGGTACGAGACGCATGAGCAGAGCCTTGAAGGAGTCCAAAGACTGAGACTGAGACTGGGACAAGGCTTGACCAGGACAAGTCACAGGAAATTGACAACGAGCTGTGGCTAGCAGGGCACCAGGATCTAAGGCAGAACAAGGAGCAGCAGCAGCAGCAGCCGCAGCACGGAAACTGGATCCATGCTGCAGTGGGAAACGAGCAACCAATGAGTAACTTTTCACGTTCTAGGTGACCTCGATGTGGTCTTGCACCCCCTCCCAGCAGCAGCAGAAAATCTAGGAAATATAAATGCATTTATATCGGAAAGATATTAAAGCTTAAACGGCATATCCTTAAGGAGTCTGTGGCAGCCACAGCAAATCTCTCAGATTGAGAGCTAAAACTATTTTTTGTGTCGTAGCTTTAAGCCATCAAGCAACTGGGGTTACAGCTGGAATCCGTGGATCCACTGTGCTGTTCCGCCCACTGGGCCACTGGATCGAATATATTTGTTTCCGTATATTTTAGCTTGAAATCAAGACGTAATCGTAAATTCATTTGTCCCACAAATGCCAATTGATGGCTTAAACGGGCTCAGTGGGAGGGCCCAAACCTAATTAAGGCAGCGGTTTGGCTTTGGGCTTTGGGCTTTGGGTTTGGGTAGGGGTTTGGGTGCCACAATTTTAAATTAAACTCCAAAGCAAAAGGTTTTGCTATTTTCAGCCAGCGAGATTTTTTTTTTTTTTTTTTTTTGCTGTTCGTTCGTTTGGACTGGACCCCTGGATGGGCCACAAAGGGATATTTATAAAGATAAATCTATCTAAATATAAATAAATAAATATAAATACTTTAGAATTGACTCTGTTTTTTTTTTTAGAACTATTTAAAGATGAGTTTGATGTGTTTACAGTTGATAAAAATCAGCGAACGGCGTCTGCCTTGGGCTTTGGAATATTGTAAAAAATTGCTTCAGTTTGCCTTTTGTTTTAAAGAGTTTGGGTGAACAAACAAAGATGCTTGCAGCCCCAATACAATGCCCCAGTAGCATATTCATATTTGAACATCTAAATATATATTTACATGCTTACATGTGTACATACATATGGGCAGTTCCTATCTGGCGTTACGTTACATTCGTACGACAAAATGTTGGAAAAAATAGTCAAAAAGCTGAAATTTGGAAAAAAGATTATCCTCGTTGAATATAATTAGGTTAGACCAGAAAAGTGAAAATAATCGATCGTACGGTTTTAAAGATATACGCCAAAGAATGACCTAAAAGACCTAGAAGTGGTTTTCGAGGTTGGGGTACAAAATGGCAAAACTCTGCGTATTGGATAGGGGTATTTGGATAACATTTTTTGTGGTAATAAATGAAGTATTGAGAGTTAATTTTCAAACTTATTAAATGTAAAAACTTTTTGCTCTTTTTTTGTTAAAAATCCGCGGAGGCATCTGGCGAACGTTACTGGCGTGACGTTACCAAATTTCGCGTTTATAAAAGCCTACAAATATACTGTTAGCCGAGGTTGGACCAACGTTCTGATAATGGTTTTAGGTAGTTTAATATGTTAGAAAGACTTTAAGGAGAAACTTTTATTAAGAATCATCTTCTTCCTAGGAGATAATTGTAAAAGAAAACATGTCTATAAAAATACCAGAAAATACCAAAAACGTGAACTTTTCCTTATTTTCATAGGTTTTAGGATGAAAGTCAATGAAATTATATGTCAATAAAGTAAATTAGTTACCTTTCAATAAATTTAGAAAAAAATATCCGGAAAAAATCATATGGAAATCGGTTTTTATTGACTTTTTATGATTCTTGGCCTGGTGGACCTTTTGGCGGAACTACCCATGCGAATAGAAGAACAAAACTAAATTAAAAATTGAAGTATACGAATAGATTTCCTTAACAATTAAATGTACCTACAATATGTTATAATTGTTTAGTCTTAGGAGAAAAAATAAGTGTCTATGCGTACTGTAAAAATGAATAACACATTTGTCAAATTATTACATTTAATCTAGCTGAAGGCCATAGCAGATATTTCTCGTTTATTATCACGTACTATATGGTTTAAACCTTATAGTAAGCTGTTAAGTAAATAAATAATAAATGTCTCGCATGTACTATCCAATCTGGCAACTTTTTTGTGCACAAATGTGTGTATGTATGTGCTATACGTTCGTATGTAGAATTAAGATAAACACTTAATTAGACAATGGAATATGTGGGCAAAGTATGGGTAGAAGTAGCAGCAGGCTGCCAGCAGGAAACTCTCATGTGTGTGTGTGCTCTGCCCCTACCCCCTGCCACCACCCCCTGCCACATCCTATCAGTTTTACATGTAGCTTTGTTTTTGTTGTTTTTCTTATTGGCCTTCGCTTTCAATTTATTTTGTGGCCAAATGAGCTTTCGGTTGTACCTTTTTGTTTTTTTGTTTTGGTGGGTGGGTGGCTGGGGGGCGTGGAACTATTTGTATTGCTATCTCCTATTCGTGCGGGGAAAGACCCGCATAAACAGATAGCAAAATACACAAATATATGCTTACAAAAGACTACATACATGCACACATACATACATATATGTATTTGTGTACTCATATATTCATAGAGTGTGTGAGAGGGGCGAATGCCACTGCCAAACTGCGACATTAATTACGGTCTAATGTACTCTTATTCGTATACGTATTGTGTTTGTGTGTGTGTGTGTCTGCTTGTGCTGTGTGTGTGTCTGCTTGTGCTTCTTGTGCTGTGTGTGTGTGTGTGCTCTGTGTGGCAAGGGCTGGTGTCTGCTGCTTGTTTCAACACGCAAACTGCATTACCATTGGAGCCGCCGCCCAGACCAAAAAGTTCAACTTAATTTAGGATGCGGGGCAAGGGGGCATAGAATCTGCCAGCAGAATCCATAGGGAAATGGTTTGGGCGCGCGCAAACATATGGACATGGGATGCCAATGAAATCACACCAAAACAAAACTTATTTCATCTACTCATTACACTCGGGAGTACGGTTTATCGCCGGGTTTCAGTTGCCCTAATTAAACATAACTTCGCAATAAGTTAAGTTAATCCTTAGTCACTTATTAATTTGTTATTGGCAACAAAAAAATAGAGGAGAATTTTCTACGGCAAATACATTTAGTAGATTACGATTAAAGTCATTCCCCCGGCGGCCTCTGATTTATGGCTTAATTTCCAGCCTAAGCCCAGTCAAAAGGTTTCGTATTTAATTGGGGGTTTACTGTGGAAAACCTAAAGGCATTTCGGTATGCTGTAAGTTCAGAATTTCTCTATATGGCAGCGCACAAAAATATGCAGATTATTTCATCAGTCTGAAATATTGCTACTGCCAAATAAATCGCTTAAAGTTCTTAATTTTAAATTGTGACATATGCGAGTTTTGGTCACACTTACGGCAAAGGTGTTCAATGTAGATTTTGCTGTAATTTTTCCCATGAAATTATCACTCATCCGCCCCGGCTGTTACCCATTGGACCCAGCCCAATCCCGAGTGGATCTGGCACTTTACACAAATTGTTGCCTGCTTTTTGGGGCTTCGTTTGAAATGGATTTTCATTGCTCACGTGTCAAGTCCAGTACACACTCCAATTGGAATCGATTGAATCGAGTGTTTGAGCCAAAGATCAGTGCTTGGCTGAAAAGGTCACTAGGTTGAGGTTGGGGGGGGGGGGGCTGGATGTGATTCCAGTCCATTTCAATAATCCTTTTTGCTGTGCTGTACACCCACGCACCAGTGCAGTGCAGCCATGCAGCACCCTCTGACATTTCACAACGTTGCCTGCACTCAGCTGGAAATGTTTGCTCAGCATAATTAGGATTTCAGTTCAGCATAAAAGGGGGGCATGGAGCGTGGAGCGTGAGGCATGAGGCATGAGGCGTGGGTGTTGGATTGAGAGTCAGCTAAATGCAAATTCAAATGAAAAATGAGGAAATGGCAAATTGCGAAACTGCAATTGTGCAATGGTAATTTCAGCTTGGCACAAGCTCAGATTTCTGCATCGTGTCCCCCCATTCAGGGCAGACATTCTTGAGAAAATTTCTCCTGCAACAGAGATTCCACGTAACTACGTAACTGGTGGAATGTTTAGCAAAAGGTCAGAGGACGGGCGCCGTGACTCGACTAGTGGCAAATAATTGAAGCCAAGAAAGAATTCAGTCTTAATTGCAAAATGCCAACAAATTGCATTTTCTTGGAGCAGCAACAGCAGCAGCAAAAAGAGTGTAAGAAAAGTTGTAAAAAAAAAAGTAGGTAAACTTTTCCTCTGCGTTATGTGAACTCAAAGATCGAAGCGAAAGCGCAGGGAACTCCAACAACATTCCAGTTAGGCAATTGAATAACTAATTTAAGTTACCCAAGCCTGCAAATTGCTGCACGCTTTAGTCGCAGTTTTCCATGGCATTATAATGAACATAGTGAAAGAATTAAAATACAAGTGCTGGATGCGGATATTTGTCACTCGTTGAGTGCTGCTTGAAGCCACAGTGAATATAAAGAGGCAGATTTACTCATCCATACATTTCAATGGATTTTTGTGGACTGGTCTCTTTTTTAGCGAGAGCTCGAAAGCATTCAACTGGCATCAGTAAAGTTTTTATTTCCAAAATACTCGTACTGGACGCTCTACTGTCTCTATTTATACACTCTATTTAATACTTGAATTTGTGCAGGAACAACCTCACATCAGCGTTTTATAGCCCCTCATAACTTCGATCATTAAACCATTTAACAATTGCAAATTATTGAGAGCAATGCAAAGAATACTTTTTAAGGCATTTGATTGACATTAAATTAATTTTTAGTTTGATATTTGCTCGCGTTCGAACTTGAGAAATTTCTGGTCCCATCCAAATGGGCAACTTTTGCAGGCATTCCAATGACAGCACCAAAAAAAAAAAAAAATAGCAACGAGAAGGCACTTCTGAGTCGCTTCTGTGGACGCGACTCTACTTTTATACCCTTACTCAGTCAGTATATAAAATTTGTGGGCTTATTTTACATTTTTCTGCTACATCTGTTATCTTTATCTATCTGGTATAAAAAACGAAAGAGACCAACGATGAGAGGACAATCGAGTGGTTCAGGGACAGGGCACGGCGACTGAGACTGACTGTCATGTGAGGGTCTGGTCTGGCTGGACGTAAAATTAATGATGGCCAGACAGTTGATTTTTAATTTTGAAGTAGAGCCAGCCAGAGCAGGAGCTGGAGACGGAGCTGGAGCCTAAGCAGAGCCGACGCACGGACACTGACTTTGGGGCTTAAAATTAATGGCTCTGATAGGACGCAGGGCACACGTACACGCACGGCAGGATAACGACTCTCTGTTGCCCTGACAGTAAGCCAACAGCCCTCCCCCCCAGTCCCATTTTGATGGCACTTAGTCGGGCAACGTGCCACGAGGCAACAGCAAAAAAGTAAATCCAAGGACAGGTCCAACAGGGGACGGTGGAATGTGCGCTGCAACAGCAGATTCACTGGATGGAATATATACATATATAAGTATTATACGTAGGACCCAAAGACTGGAGAGAGACTGCACTAGAAATCCATTGCCCCGAGCAGATTGAAGCACCAGCAGAAGGAGCCATACCAGACACTCAAGTTAAAAACTAAACTCTGGAAGATCGTGTGCGCCCCCGTTGACTGCTCGACTGCGACACGCCCTTGGCTTGGTTGCTCTTGGTTGCCATGTGCAGGCATCTGTTGAAAGCTTTTTGATCTCCCAATGGAGGGAGGATGCTTTTGTTTTCAATTTGATGGGCTGCGGCAGATTATTGGTGCCTAGCAATCCCCGTTGGAGGCGCAAACTCCAAAGTATATATAGGGCTTTATGACAGCGCACTTAGCGTACACATGTGGCCCCTACACGTGGCTACACGGCCACCTCTGCAGAGCTCTGTGACCTCTGTGACTCGTGACTCAACGTAGAGGCCGCGTCGCAAGTGAGTGACTCTTTTCCAGTCAATCTCGTCCTTAGCCCACAGCTAATGCCATAATTGAACGATTGATGGGAGGACACACAATCACCACACCATCACCATCACCATCATCGTCATAAACATCGACCCCTCATCATCGTTCGCCTGAGCCTCATCGGAGTCACAGAGTAACAGTCGCAGGCGGATATGCATCACCAGCAGAGCCTTCACGTTCGCCCACATCCGAGTGCCCCAGTTGGGGCGTAGAGCAGTGCTGTGTGGCCAGGGCAAGGCCGCCGCTGCCAGTACAGGCAAATAAAACGTAAACAGACGCCCACACGCCAAGCGTCACGTTGCTTCCACTTTCTATGGGACGACATTGACTGTGGTTCGGCTTTCTACTCTACGCTTCATGTCTCGTGTTAGTATTGGTTTCACTTCCACATTGATGTGGCCAATTGCCTTTCATTCATAAAAGTTTTACGTTGATCCAATGGAAGCCATAAAGCAAGCTGGCAACTGTCTTGTACCCGGCCACATGCCCATCAATGCCATGCATCCCATAGCCCAACCCATCCGTCAGTGTCAGCAAAGGTTTCGCCTGCCCACTGGCCCACTGCCACCAAGAGTCAGAGTGACTGCATTCAATGCACTGAGAGAAGTGCAACGCCTACCCAGTGGGAAATATACATTCCGGTTTGGGAGTTCTAAGTTCTAGTTGGAACTACCAACTAAAAACTAGTAGCTACTAAGCTGTATTTCTTATTTGTAAATCAGATTCTAAGCTTAATCCTTTCACTTTGCTGTCAACTCTACTCAGCTCAGTGCTGTGGGCAACTCTATTCGTGCGAGGACAGAGCTAGCCTTATGGCTAAAGCATGCCAGTGCGAGCGAGAGCAATATATGCGCCAGGCTTGGCTTTCCAGGATTTCCAGGCTTTCGATTTGTAGGCTTTTGACACAAATAGTGGCTGAATTCTTTGATTGATGGCTGGCAGATCGCTACGAACATTACTACAGCATTCTGTCTCTCCTGCCTGCTCTCTCTCTCTCTCTCTATCTCTCTCTTTGCAGCAATGTTAGCAAAGAGCTCTAGGGTTCAGTGTTGAAAAACAATTAATCGTGGAAATGCATTCTCTTGAAATGGCAGTCCTGTGCAGTTCATTTGTTGTGCAACACTGGCCGATGACAAACGCTTTTCTTTCCATCTGCCTGCTGCCTGAGTTTTGCACCGTTTTGCTAGAAATCTATTTCAATTGTGCTCCAAATTAATTAAACATGAATGAAGAGTTGAAAAAAGTTGTGGAGCAAATGCTGAAGGAGAAAAACCTGGATGCAACCCCAGAAACTCGCAGGATTTTAGCTTACAAGCTGGGCGATTGTGAGTATTTTAATAGCTTAGCGTAGCATTATTTTACTTCCTTTTTTTTCTTTTTTTTTTTTGCTGCATTTAGTTATTGAGAATATTGGTAAGGAGACGCGTCGCAATGCCGATTGCGCCCAGCGCGCCAAAGTGAGCTACTTTGATTTGGAGGAAACTTTTCGCAAGCGAAAGATTCTGGGCGAGGAACTTGAAAAATTTGTAAAAGACGATGAGGAAAATGCCATGGCACGGCCAGCTAACGAAAATGTCTTGCCATGGGACCCAAAAGGTAATGTGGGATGTGCCGTCAAGAGGCCCATGGAGCTACTGCGCGGCGAAGAAGATCCACCAAGACGCCCGCCCAACGTGCCCCCGTTTCTGCCGCCCATTCCGCCCGCACATACCTGGAAGAAAACGTATATGGTGCCCCCCAGACACGATAAAACTTACGTCGAGGCGCGCGAAATCAACGCTGAAAACCGTTTGCAAATGACCAAAAATCTGCAAAATTTTCAAAAGCGCACTCGACCAACTGTCTCGTTGTTCGGGGAGGTGTCGTCCAGCGACAAGCGCTTCGATTTGCTGGACATAGAGCCGCCGAAGCGTCCGGCTTATATGGATGCGCTAATGGGGTGCGGCCAGTACTATGGGACTGGGGAGGACGAAGACGACGAGAAGATATCGCCAGAGGGTGAGTCTGCTGCTGCTTTATAATAATAAATATAATAATAACCTTTTCTCTGGTCTTCTCTATGACAGCGGCAAAGTCGTTATTTCTGATGCCGCCGAAGCCGCCAAAGTCCCCCTTTTTGGCTGCTCCGAAGCCGCCAATTTCCCCCTTTTTAATGGCACCAAAGCCTCCAATGTCCCCCTTTTTAGCTGCTGCGAAGCCTCCAATGTCCCCCTTTTTGGCTGCTCCGAAGCCTCCAATGTCCCCCTTTTTGGCTGATGCAAAGCCTCCAAATTCCGAATTTTTAGCGGCTTTAAAATCGCCATTTTTAACGGCTCCGAAACCTCCAAAATCGCAATTTCTAGCGGCTCCAAAATCGCAATTTCCAGGGGCTCCAAAATCGCTATTTTTAACTGCTCCGAAGCCGCCAAATTCGTCGCCAAAGCAGCCGAAGAAGTACCAATAGAATCAATCCAAATAAATCAATTAAAATGCTTCCAAATGGCATATACAAATAAATACAATTAATATTGTGCCCAGATATCCGTTCTTTATTGACTGCAGATTTGAGTTATCGTTTTAGGTTGGAAATTTCCACATCAAGTAGCAGAAGCTGCCACATTGTTGCAGTGTATACCAGCACCAGCTTCAGCCTATCTATCCTGCGGATCTGGGACATACATATGTATGTATGTATAGTATGTGCAAAGGACTTAAGCAGCAGCAGCAGCAGCGTCACGGCCAGAATGAATAGATGGACAAACGGACGGGGCTTAATCTTTTGCAGACAATCAATCAGGAGAATGCTGCTGCTTCTTCTGCTGCTGCTGTTGCTGCCACCGCTAAAGTCGTTACATGGGATTAAAGGGCGGACAAGACTACCGCCCACCCCAGCCCGCAACCTGTTGCCGTGCGCCATGCACTTTTAGTGCGGCCTTGATTGTGGCTAAGCTTAAAGGCACACAAATGGCAGGCCACAGTCACAGAGATACTCGACTAGAGTGACAGAATGAATGCACGATGCGAAGCGAAGCGGCAGTGCAGGGCAGGCAGCTGGAGCCTAAAGGGATACCACAGTCATGGCCGCCGCACCTGGACACATTCATTCTAATTTCATTATGCTAAAAGCTCATCATCCGCATTGGCCTTGCCGTTGGATGGTGATGGAAGATCTGGAAGAAGAATGTGGTTTGTGCAATGCAATGCAATGACTGATTGCCCAGATGGCCTAATAACCTGTTGCCAGGGAACACAGCAGCCGCTGGGCAGGATTACTTGCTAGTAAAATATAAGATACGCCCCCAAAACCATACCAGCAAGTGGAGTAGGATCTACGCATGTATATACATATGTACATATGTATGTATGTATGGCATAACGGTCAACAGTCACGGGCCACACTTATGGCACATGTAAAATTCAATTAAATACAAAAATAGATTAAATAAATAAAATACAAAATAAATAAATAAAAAATTAAATATTGTAAATTTAACCATAACCCTTCTGTGATTAGTGCATACAAAAATAGATGAAATAAATGAATATTTTTTAAATAAAATCTTTTTTCAATAAAATTAAATATTTTAATTTTAAACATAACTCCAAAAACCATAACCAAAAATCGAAAACCAGATGAAAATTAATATTTTTAAAATAAAATCTTTTTATAAAAAATTATATATTGTAATTTTAACCATAACTCCTCTGTGTTTAGTGCATACAAAAATAGATGAAATAAATGAATATTTTTTAAATAAAATCTTTTAAAAAAAAAACTTAAATATGGTAATTTTAGGCATAACTCCTCTGTGACTAGTGCATTAAAAACAAGTATTACTTGTAACACTAGGAAAAAATAAAAATACCTCATAAATATGTTTCCTCAGCTATGCAGATTAAATTAATGGAGAAAATAAAAATACACAAAAAAAAAATTAAATAAATTAATATTTTTTAAATAAAATCTTTTTTAAATAAACTTAAATATTGTAATTTTAGCCATAACTCCTCTGTGACTAATGCATTAAAAACAAGTATTATTTTTAGTAAATATACAAATACAAATAAATATGTTTCCTCAGTTATTCAAATTAAATTAATGCTTAAAAGCAACAATATTTGTGTGAGCATTTAAATCGAACAATAATTTAAATAATTTTAATAATTTAAAATTTAAATCTATTGGTTAGCCGCTAACCTCCTCCAGCAGCTTTGTCGGAGTTTTTGCTCAAATGCAGAACCAAACCAAGAGCACTGTTGCAGCAAAGGCACGTCCTTGAATGTGCCATCCCCCCCACCGCCACCACATGGCAAGGCAATGCAGGGCAGGGCAGCATTGTTGTAGCAATTGCAAATACAAAAAAAATGTATGTACCATTGTCGCATTAAGTGAAGCACCGTTCGCTGATTGCCCGGGATTACCGGAACACATACACATACCCATACCCATACCCTATCCATATCCACAATGCACAATGCACACATTGGATGCACTGCAAACACCCAAACCAAAGCCCAACCCACATTGCCTCATTGCCTCATTCCAATGCCCAATACTCTTATACATATGAACATATGTATGTATGCATGTACATATGTATGTGTGCATGTAGATATGTATGTATAGAATACGTATAAAATATTAGCATGAAGCTTTCACTGTCGTCGCTTCAATCGCCGCAGCGGGAGTGTGAAATCACGAAAATGTGAAAAGTGATGCCTGAATGCATCCATTATCTACACCCACACACACACACACACAAACACAAGGCATAGGACTGTTGTCCCTTCCCAGCCTATTGTCTTAGTCAGTGGTTTTTGTGTTTGCGGGTTTGTTGGGTTACAGTACAGTACATATGTATATATTACCTGCATTGGTTTGCACCATTTTCGGGCGCTTCTTCCTGTGGAATTTCGGCGAGTTTCTCTCTGTGTGTGTTTGTGTGCGTGTGTGCGTGGGCGTGTGTTTTGACGCTTACGGCGGGGCAGATTGCCCAAAGCTTTTTGCACCGTAATTCCTTATTCGCTCTCTCTCTATCTATCTTTCTGCCTCTCCTGCTTGCCTGCGTCTCACGCACACAATCACACGCGCGCGCCTAAAATGTATTTCGAAAAAGTTTCTGTTTGTTTTTGCGCGTAGAGTGTAACGGTACAGGGCCGAAATAGAAGAAGAAGAAGCAGCAGTAGCAGTAGCAGCAACAGGGAATGGATGGAACGGTGAAAGTGTCGCCTGTGGCTGAAGCGTCTTCTTCACTCCACTTTAGGGTCCTAGCCCTGGTCCTGGTGCTGGTCCTGGTCCTCGTTCTGGTCCTGGTGCTGTTCCTCGTTCTGGTGCCTATTCTTTTCCTTTTCCTTTGCGCTTCCTTGCTTTCTTTGCTTCGATGCTCTCCCTTTTGGGCTCTTCCTTCTTATTGCGCTCTTTTGCTGTGTGTTTCGGCTGCTTATTAACTAGTTGCTGCCTGCCTGCCCGCCTGCCTGCCCGCCTGCCTGCCTGGGTTCTTTATAAATAATTTGGCATCCTGCCAGCCGCCGGAGAGGGAGAGGAGCAACGAGCGCGCGCTCCCATCATTTACAACAAAACAAATCTCTCCACACAAGTGTTTGACCGAATTACTGACTAAAACCGAAAGAAAGGCTGAAAATGTATTGGAAGATAGACCGATATAACCGTATAACCCCGATAGACCGAAATGACTGAATAGCTGACTGACTGAATCACTGACGGAATGACGACGAACGACAAACCGACAAACCGACAAACCGACAAACCGACTCCACTCCTCGACACTTTACGAACGACTGACTAAGTCCCTAATTATTATCTTTGGTAAGCGTACGGGGGCCATAGAGTGGAGCTACTGCCACTAACTACTGAACGCGACGAACTCCCAAGTAAAACTGAAAACTGAAACTGAAAGCAAACCGAACGAACCGAAGGAACCCGCCACGCCAGCCAGCCAGACACAAATTCTGACGCTGACGTTGACGGTGACGCTGACGCTGGACGACAACAACAACAACAGCAACAAACGCACGAAGCTCTTGCCTCTTGCTACTGCTGCTGCTGCTGCTGTGCTCCCTTTTTGGTGTTTTTTGTACCACTGTGCCCCATACAAGCTGCCACATTACGTTACGTTTCGGAAGCTTTTCGCGTTGCGCCCTTTAGGCCCTTGCTATCTCGCTCGCACCTGCCCAGTACATACATACATATGTATGTGTATGTATGAATGCAGCTGTACACGTATGTGTTTGTACTGTGTGTGTGTGTGTGTGTGTGTGTAAACCGTTAACAGTTTGCTGACGTCGCACGTTGCGTGGTGAAAATCTGCCTGCCACAAGCAACAGGACGACAACACGCCACTTGCCCCAGCCTCACTTACACACACACACACACAGACACACACACACGCTCGCTCGCTTGTGCTTGTATGCCCCAAATTTTTGGGTGAAAAACAGTTCGGTGTAATGGGGGCCCGCTGTTGCTTCGCATTGAGTGTGCGCCATAACGCTTGGGCCCCTCTGCCTCTGCCTCCACACCCTGTATCCTGTTGCCCGTACCCTGCCCGTACCCTGCCCGTACCGTAGCGATCCATTAGAGTGCTTAACATAACCTGCACACTTTGGTTTCGTGTGTACCGAAATGTACGAAATGTATTTTAAGGTTTGGCCTGCGTGCGTATGCCGTGTCGTGCCGTGGCCCAGTTTTCGCTCCTCAGGTGCAAGCAAAGATGCCAGCAAATAGATAGATAGATAGATAGATAGATGTTGGTGTGGGCCAGGTAATCTCCTGCTTGTGGTCCATTTAGAGTGTTGGCCAATGGAATATCCAATGAAGATGTTACGAGGATTTAATGATAGTGCTAGGCATACTTTATTGCAAGTAATTTCCAGCTATAGCATAGTTAGTGGGGCGCATTTATATGTATATATGTACTCGTACATGTTTAGCTGCAAACAAAGCTGCCAGGAATTTTTTTACTAATTGTTTACCATCAAATAAGAATTCTAAGGGTGATCCAGATATCATCCAGTGAGATCGTCGAGATATCATTCATTAGCTATTAGAATATTTTTATATAAAAGAACGGGCAAATATAATGAAGAATAACTTATGAACCATTTTAGTTAACATATTACCAAGTTTTTTTTTGCACCTAATTATAACTTTAATTAGCTGCTAAGACCTGCTGCAAATACAAAACAAATAAAGCAAATAATAAATATAAATATAAAAATAAATAAATTCATGTTAATAAATAAATAAAATAATAATAAATAAATAAATTAATTTCAAATTATTTATTTTTTCTTTTCTTTGCTAGAGAATGATTTAAATTAAGTTTGATTTGTTTCCGTCATATAATACAAAGGTAAATATATGTATATGTACATTTCTACAAACACATGTACATACATACATATGTACATATGTAATACTTCGTGGTGCGTATCGTAATTTGATACAGATATTAGAACGTTGAATGAATCCACAGTACATTTGCCTCTTTGTCTCTCTCTCTCTCTCTATCTGATACTGCAGTTCCTAGCTACACTGTAAGAAAGAGAGAGAGAGAGAGATGGAAGGAGCGTAAAGCACTAAAAATCTTATTTTGATTCATTCTGGCTATAATTAATGACAGAAGGACAGACAGACAGACATGGCTATATATCGACACGGCTATTGTTATTTAAAATTTATATATGGCCTCTGATTAACGGGTATAAAATGGGTTTAAATATCCCAAATGACATTGTGAACATAATGTATAAATAAATTAATCTGCACTTCAAATTTGCATTGTTTTAAATAGCTTCAACTTGGCGTGATTAAATAAAAACTGAATAATTTTGATTTCTTTTAAAAACCAAGTCATTGAAATTGAAGACATACACATATAGTATTATGGATGCAAATAATGACAGGAGACTATAAAAAAAAAAAGGGAAACTATATGCATAGATAAATAAGAGTAATTAAGAGCCACAGCTCAATCAATTTTATATGCTGTACTGGTGGTATATTTCCTGAGAGATCGAACTTAAATTGCATTAAGCATATTCATCGAGGGCTAAAAAACAAATGAATAATGAATACGGTTACCTGATTTTTGTGTAAACATTTTACATAATTCGCTTTTATTTTCGTTCATTTTTTTTGTTTTTTTTTGTTCTCTGCTAAATTATAAATTTATGTTTAATTTTTGTTTTGTTTTTTGTTTTCGGTATATGTATTCTGTTCTGTAATTGTGATGTTGTTGTTTGTACGGGGAACATAGGATATTTGTAGTATTCATGTGTAATGCTATATATGTATGTGTGTGCAGTTACAATCGTGGGTAACTGTAATGTATATGTGTATGTACCATATGCTCGGGGGCTCTATAGGGTGTCATCGTCTCTACACAGACGTGGTATAAATATATAGTAGCTTAGCTTTGATTACGTTTACGATTACGATACAATATTATTTTATTTTAGTTTATTTATAGCGAGAGTTTTTGCTGTGTTGTCGTGTTGTCGTCTGGATCGTGCTGATCCTTTATCGAATATTTTTATCAAAAGTGTGGCCAAAATGTTGTTTGGACTCAGTGGCCCAGAGGTCAGAGTTCGCTCCATGAGTTCGCTTTCATGTGTAAAATATATCTCTTATGTTTCGCTCACACACACGCACTCTCTCTCTCTTTCTCTCTGTCTCTCCCTCGCTCTCGCTCTTTCTCTCGCTATCTTCTTTATTTCATTTTATATATATATTTTTTTTTTTCTTCTTTCTTCTCTGTTTCTGTTTAGCGCTTACAAAAATATCAATATTCAAAGAAGCAACAAGAAATCACATTAAGTTTTTTTTTTTTGTTTAAGTTTTAGTTTTTTTTTTTCTGTTTTCGTTTCCATCGTTTAGTTTTCTATACACAAAAAGCGTGCTACTCGCATTAAATTACATACATATGTTCCATACAATGTATATAGCGTATGGTAGGTCTGTTTATTTGTATAATGTGTATATATATATATATATATGTATATAAACCGATAAACCGTTAGCCCTTTTATTGGAGGGAGTTTTGGTGCGCCTGCACTTACCAAAAAACAAGAAATTGCTTGACAGAAAGCATAAAAAATTTGCCTGAGAGAGAACTTTCGTTTTGGAAACCAAAAAAAAAAAAAATATATATATATATATAGTAAGTAACATACACATTTAACACATTCTGCTGTATGTATATGTTGGGGTATGTATATATAATATGTTTGCGTATAAATACTCGTTTAATATATGTATGTATATTGTATATCTATATATACTTATATATTCGTATTTTATGTATAATATTTTTTTTTGGTTGTATATTAATTCATCTAATACAATAACGCAATCAACTCAAACTCAACGTTTTTCATTCAACAACATTTTCATAACATTTTTTTGTGTGTCTGTGTGTGTGTGTTACAATTGTTCGATCTATGCATGGTATATAGCCATAGGATCTACCCAAAGCCAAAACTCGTAACGAAAACTAAAACTGCAAATTTGTATCGCAATTTTTATATCAATCCAAAAGATAACAATGCCAATAACAAAATTAAATCCTAGAAACGAACAATTGCAATTTAATATCATTGAATGTTCATACATATATTCATATAGCGGTCTGCATGAATGCGTTTTGAACTCAATGAATGTAAATAAATGAATATTGCATGCAAAATGCAGAAGGACTCGGAGCGGCAGCATGAATGCGAATGAGAGGGAAGGTATCTATAGGAACTCGAAATATTTGCAGTTCATATCTGCAGACCTCTAATCTATATAGCATCTATCATATATGTATGTACATGTGTCCGTGTGTCTCTGTGTTTGTGTGTGTGTGTGTATATATCTGATTATTTTTGCCAAATCGATATAAAATAACATTAACAACAATTGGCCCACAGCTTGGGCCGCAATCAACCCAAGCCGAAAACCTCGCACAGCATTGCAAATATATGTATGTATGTATGTATATAATAGTATGTATAGTATATATGTATATAGTGTATATGTATATATATCTCTATATAGATGGTATCTAATACAAGTATACTGATGATCGCGTAGCACATGACCGACCGACCGACCGACCATCCCCATACAAAAAGTATAAATATATTTTTATGTGTAACTGCTTCTATGTATGTATATGTGGAATGGCTGTATATATATATATATAATCGGTATATGTATGTTGTATATATTATATATATATATTGTATATAGTAAATAGTATTTTTTCATTTACGTTGTTCATTTGCATATCATTTTTTTTTTGGTTTGTTTGTTTGTTTGTTCTACTTTACGCTTCACATCTCAGGTCACTACAATTTCCTTAATTTTAGCTACATTTCAAATTGTAAACTTCTGCATCGCAACATAGGCGATTCCCAGCCGTTTCTAAAAAAAAAAACAAAAAAAAAAAAAAATCCACACTACTCCAAAAACCAAAACACCAAACTCATCAAGAGTTTCCAGCTAATTGCCATCTACTACATATGTATGTATGTATGCCGTGTGTGCAGGTAATGACTAAAGCGCAGTTACTATCCAACAACATTCTATGATCTACGTGTGTGCTCTCTACTACATAGTACATCATCGCATGCTCAATACTGATCGGCAATTACATCGGGTATACATCTACGGATTATGGGCTATGTTTATGGTTAAGGTTAAAGTTGATGCGTGCTTCGGCTGGCTTCCTCCTTCACTTGTTCTCGATGATTGTCTGCAGCTGCAGCACCAAACTGCGTGACAGCTGCAGAATCGATTGGGCATTGTGACGTTCGGCCATTTCTGCAAGAGAAAAATGCATAGAATAACGGCATAGAATAGGAGTATCGGGCAGCAAGCAGCATACCATTAAAGAACTTGATGACATCGGTAAAGTCCATGCTGTTGGACAGTATGATGTCGCGATAGGTCTCCAGCAGGGCCAGCGCCAGAAAGAGCACAAAGTTGCCAGAGGCCACATGCTTGGCCGCCCAGATCACCTCCCAGGTGGCAAAGACATCGTCGTAGACGAGCTCCCGCTTAAAGTCCAAGAGGAACCAGCGGTAGCAGAAGTAGAAGTGCGTATAGTCCCCATTCGAGTCCATCAGATCGTACATCTCCGAGTCGAGGATTTGTATGAGGGAACTGCCATTGAGAATATTCAATTATAAATGTAATAAAATATTAGGATGGGGATAGGGATATACCCACCGCATATTGGCAAAGTGCATGTCCATGGCACCGCCGCTGGGAAAGTTCTCGATCATGCGCTCCATGAGCTTGCAGAAGCAGCTGTAGCTGAGCGACTCGTCGTCGAAGATGACCAGCAGTGGGGCCACCAGATCGCACATGCCCTGCATGTAGCCCACGTCCAGATGCTCCCACACATACGTGGATATCACGTTGCGCAGCTTGTCCAGATTCTCGTTGGCAAAGTACCAATAGTTGCGATCGCATCGCTGCACATCCTTCTCGATCCGATGCAGATTGAGGCCAAACTGTTCGAGCAGCTCAACGCTGTAGACGCCCCCATTGGAGCTGGCTGGTGAGACGCAGGCAGACTTGGGCTCCTGCAGGGCATCCAGGCTGGCCACCACCGTGATGTCCTCGTTCATGGGGGACATGAGGCTGGTCTTGCGTGAGGTAAAATCTTCGGTGGTCTCGTCATCGTTGCACTGCACATCCAAGGCGTCCAGGGAGGCGGCCTCTGTGATGATCACCGACGTGGATGGATGCTCCTCCTCATGGTCTGCCTCTTCACCAACATCCCGACGCACATCATCGGCGCTGTGGAATTTACTCAACAAACCGCAGGGCTCTGGCTCTGTTTCGGGCTCTGTCTCTGGCTCCTCCTTGACATCCACCATGTCCACGAACTCATTGCCCACCGTCTCGTAGCTGCTGGTGGAGGGAGAACTCTTGATGCTCAGCAGCAGGATGTTACCGCCAGCATCCAGTCCCAGTCCCATCTCGCCCTCCGCCTCAGAGTCGGCAAAGCAGTTCTCCTGCAGATGCAGCGGCTCCATGCAGTCGAGATTCTGGAACTCCAGCATCAGCTGTTCGCTCAGCTGTGGCATCAATTGACCTTCCTCCTGCTCCTGCTCCTGGTCCTGGTCCTGCTCCTGCTCCTCGTCCGTTTTCTCGTTTCCATCCTCTTCAGGCTGCTCCTCAGCCTCGGCTGCCAGTTCGGGCTCATCGGACAGATCTCCAGGATCGGATATATCGGAGAAATCATTATCATCAAACACATCGTTCTCACCCTCATCGCCGCCCAGCTCCGCCTCATCACCGCTCTGACCATGGCCGCTGCGCTCTAGCTCCAGCTCCAGCTCCCGACTGCCATTGGTCATTGGCTTTGCGGCATTTGCGGCAGCAGCACCGCCACCAGCACCAACACCAGCACCATTGGCATTGGCCGCCAGACGCGCCTGTTCGGCGCTCAGTTTGGCCACGGCCAGCGCTGTCTTCTCCTTCTCACGCTGACGAACAATCGCCTCCACGGCCAGCCACTCGCTCATCGTTGTCTCGTAGTAGTGCTTGCAGGTCTCGTCCTGCTTTTTCCTGTCCTCCGGCGTGGAGCCGAAGGCGTAATGGCCCAGCAGATAGGGCCAAACCTCCTGCCGCAGATCGGGCTGTACGCCGCCAAAGTAAACCAAGCGATAGAGCTCCAACTCGCCAGAGACAACGCCATCCACATGCATCTCCAGCCACTTTTGTCGGGTGAGGCCCTCCTCGTCGGCAGCCACTGTGCGGAGTAGAGAAGTAGTTTTAGATTGTACAATAGAGAGCAAAGCAGAACCAGTAAAGAAACAACAGCCCAGAGCACAGAGGCCTATCCTTTTGGTAAGTACTAGCAAAAGTGAAAGTTTGGAAATCCAAAATAATTTTTAAAACTAAACAAGGGTTTCATCCAGTGCCTAAATTCAAATGGTTCTTCATTTTGGTTTTGGATAAGAAATAGAAAAGGAAATTCATCCGAGAATCTATTATTACACTGCTGCTAATGGAACAGCGCTAACAGAGAACAGAACAGAGTAACGGACTGTTGCCGCTCTCCGCTTACAGCCTGTAGCCGCTCTCTGCCTACAGCTCTGTTATCTCCACTTACAGCCTGTAGCCGCTCTCTGCCTAAAGCTCTGTTATCTCCGCTTACAGCCTGTAGCCGCTTTCTGCCTAAAGCTCTGTTATCTCCGCTTACAGCCTGTAGCCGCTCTCTGCCTAAAGCTCTGTTATCTCCGCTTACAGCCTGTAGCCGCTCTCCGCCTACAGCTCTGTTATCTGCGCTTACAGCCTGTAGCCGTTCCCTGCCTACAGCCTGTTATCTCCGCTTACAGCCTGTAGCCGCTCTCTGCCTAGAGCGCTGTTAGTGCTCTCTGAGAGCGGGCACGCAGTCGCTGTTACGACGAATAAGGAGGGTCTTAATCTAGTTATTTGTATCTGCTTCTTTTGGCAGAACTTACAATCGGGCATAATGCGACCATAGACCAGTCCCGAGAGATGCGTCCGCACTGTGGATAGATGACGGCAGTAGGCCAGCCAGCCGTAGAAGGCCCGCGAGATGATCTGTCGCCGCATGGTGGAGCACACGAGCTCAATGCTGGCCGTTTGACTGGCCTGTATCAAGGGCGGATCGCTGCTGCTCTGATCGATGGAGAGACTCTTGCTGGAGCAGTCGCTGCTGCCGGTGGTGGAGCAGCTGCCCAAATGCTTGCGACGCGGACTCGACCGTCCCAGCTCCAAAATGGGATGCGTGGCCACTGGGGAAGATACAGAGAGAGGAGAATGTTGAGTACAGATTGATGGATCAGTTCACAAAATCGCGATGCTCGATGCTCACAGAACTCCTCGTGTTGACTCTTGCTGACCACGCGAAAGACATAGTCGATGGGCGTCTCATCGCTGGAGGAGGCGGACGAGGCCTCCATAACGGATGGCAGTATGTGCCGTCGCACGCTCTTGGGCCAGGGGAATAGCTTGCCAATGCCGCGCTGTGACCAGAGCGGCGGATCCAGCTGTCCGTGCGGCAGCAGGCCCGTCTCCAGGCAGCTGAGAAATGCCTGCAAGTGTCCGCCCTCCGGAAAGTGAATGGGCGGACGCTGTACGCCATCCTGGCCCACCAGGATGATGGTGCCGCCGGTGTCGCCGCCACGATTCTGATGACAGTGCACATAGACAATTTCGTCCACATTGATATTGAGGGCATAGCTCCAGTAGAAGCTCTTGTCGCTGTTGTCGCCATCGTTGTAGCCGTTCATTAGCTGATTTGGCGTCCACTTGATGGTCAGCGACTGGACGCTCTGGTGTAGGCTCAGATAGCCGGGCATCGGCTCCGATACGTCCTTGGGCAGGACGAGGACATTGTTCTTGCCATAGAGGAGGGTGGTGCGCGAATTCTGATGCAGCGACTCCACATAGTCCTTGGCCACGCTCGCCGGCGAGCAGGCCTTGAAGCTGCCGCTGCTCGTGTCCTCCGAGCTGGTGTGCAGACTCCTCTTAAAATTAATGATCGGCCGATGGCAGGTGGGCGGTGTGCGGTTACCCGAGCTGATACGATGCCGCTGCACCTAAAAACACGGAGAAAAAAACAGAGTTGAAGATGATCGGTCGGGGGGATGGGGGGAGGCAGCATCCACTTACCAACTCATCGGCACAGGGATCGGACCAGTAATGATCGGCTGTCTTGGCCCGCGTAAACTCCAGGGCACAGGGCCCCACCAGCAGGGAGCTGAGTATCGATCCATAATCGGCGTCGGCGACCAGCGCCTCGCGATCATAGTAGTTGCTGGCATTGCCCACCAGATGCTCAATGATCTTGGCCAGCCGCTTCTCGTACAGCGCCAGCCGTATCCACAGGTACTTGCCCAGGGGTGTGCCAGCGCCACCAAGGACACCGCCGGCACCACCACCACCAGCGCCACCAGCGCCGCCAGCACCATTGCTGACCGTATTGATGGTGGTGACGGAGCTGCTGCTGCAGCTGCTGCCCGTTTGCTTGCTGATCAGCTTGGGCTTGATGATGCTGTCGCTGCTGGAGGACGAACGCTTGCCGCTCACCGTGGGACTCTCGTGGGCCAGCTCCAGTTCCAGCAGGCGCCGACTCACGTAGTCCGCCTCCGGACAGATTTTGGCTATCTTCTGGATGAGGGCCGTTGTCGAGGAGGTCTTGAACAGGCCCAAAGCACGACGGCGCAGGCCATGGCTGAGGCAGGCCTCCACGGCGCCGCACAGCGACGTCACCGAGCTGCTCTCCTCGTGCACGTACTTCTTGGTCACCGCCTCCTCCATCAGTTGCTTCACCTCCTTCTTGACGCTGGCTATCAGGCGCTCCTTGAGCTCCGTCTCGGCTGTGGGTTGGAAATCATCGGAAATGGCAAATGGCAAATGGGAAATTAATGCGACTCAAAAGCGTAATCTGCTGTTCAATAATTCGTGGTCCTCTCTCTTCCTCGTCTGGTAATGACTGACATAGCCCCGCACCCCACACATCACTATCCACCCCCCCATAAATATGCTTTGATTGATTGCACATGCCCCGTGTCGTCGTTGGGACTGGAGGAGACCCACGTGGACTCTCCTAGCCGCCACTCCCCCCCCCAGACCCGACGTCAATCATTTTGTCATCGCTGTCAATTTTGGTTCTGTTTGCTCCTGTGCACAAATCCGTCAGAGTTCCTCTGCCTCATAGCCACCCTACTCATGCCCCATGCCCCATGCCGCATGCCTCATACTTATATAAATGTTTATGTACGATACGAAAACGATACGCACTTATGTGCATGTGTATGTGCTTGTGTCTGTGTTGTACAGTGCGCTTCGTTGCCATAAGAACGCATGCATAACAGCAGAGAGTCACAGCAGAGAGTCACAGCAGAGAGTCACAGCAGAGAGTCACAGCAGCATGTCACGTTGTGATGACAGTGGATGCACTTACGCAGAATACTCCCCCACACTCCACACGGCACGCCCCAGCCCCAGCCTCACCCCAGCCACACCCCATATCACGTGTAATTGCAGGTGAACCATGCAACAATCATGGGGGTGAGACACATATCTGCTGACTGCGCCTTATTTAATGCATAAAATGCCCAAAATTGGCTAAAAAAAACTAAGAAAAGAATTTAAAAAATTAAAATAAAAAAATTAAATACAAAAAATTAATAGTAGAATACAAAAATATTGAAAATGAAATTTAATCATACATTAATATAAAAAAATAAGCGTAAAAAAATAATAAATATATTTATAAAAATTAAAATTAATAAATAAATTTTCAAACACCACACTCATATACCATATAACGTTAAAAAGTTTAATATTTTAATTAAGAATTAATTTTTTTTTATTAATTATTAATTAATTTATTAATCATTAATTAGTTTATTTATTTGGCAAATTAAGCAAACTTAATAATGGAACATGTTCCATTTACCAATCAACCCTAAAACTCGTCAAAAATATTCAATTATAATTGAATTATAATTATAATCGATAATTATGGAAACAACTTTGTTTGTAGCTAAGCAATTCCAAAAATTTAGTTTAATAAAACAATGCGAGAGGCAGATTAAAGCAAAAGTATCATAGCATTCCGACTATGGGAAATATCAGAGAAATATACACACATACATATTTGATTTTTAAAAGTAATTTTGAGCAATTGAAGGCGTTCGTATTAACATCACACTGTTAGGGGAATTATACCTCTAAAACTCTATCATACATATCAATATCAAGTACATATCTATGCACATAAGTATCCTCAAGCCAATCCTAGTGGACAAAACTTCTTCACATCGATGCTTGTAAAGTGCGCAGTCCGAGGGGCGCTGCCGCATGGTGCGCGACACATACTTCTATTTATGAGCTTTTAGAAAAATCTCTCGACAGATTAGTCTCTTAAATCGGCTAAAAACTTGCTACATATAAAAGAAACAATATTAAAAAAAAAATCAAATTTTATTGGTCAATAATTTTTGTTGTCTAAAAAACCCATGCGAATTAAAGTTATTCAACGCACTGTACTGTGCTGTGTGTGTGTGTGTGTGTGTATGGGTTTGGGTCCCGTGTATTGGTCCATATACAAAATATGCTAATAGGATATAAACCAACGCCAGCAGGCAGCAGGCTAGAGAGAGAGAGCCAACTCCTAGGAGAGGCGCGCGCGCTTCTAATTAGAATGGAAATAAAGGATTTACGCAGCTACGTGACATGGCCTGGCAATGCCCGGCAGGACCCCCCCCCCCCCCTACACACACACACACAGAAAACAACTCCCGAAAATCGATAAGGGAGCAAAACTTTCACATCAGATTGGGAGGAGTAGGATGAGGTGGTGCTGAAAAATTGCAGCAGCGCTGACAACAGAGAATCTCTGCCTCTTCAGTCTCTGTCTCTCTCAGTCTCTCTGTGAAAAGCGGCAACGTTGCGGCAGCTTTAAAAGCCACCAAACAAACAAAATATTATACAAAGGGAATATTATGTTAAGTGCACGACAGACACCGACTGACAGACAGACAGAGACGACAGTGAGAGCAAAAAGTATATATCCGACATTGGTCCTAAGTTGTTTATTCTCATTTTCTTATTTCTTTTGCAATTGCCGCCCAGCCGCCGCTCTCCTCCTGGTCCTTAAGTGGGAAAGCATTTCAATAAACAACAATCGAGAGTCGAGAGTCGAGACCCACCCCAACACACACACACAAACACACACACACAGCAGATTCAGCCCCACACCCAATAGGACATAGTAACCTTGACTCGCCGACAACGATGGCTGGCTGGCGGTGGCTATGGCTAAAAAACTTCCTTGAATTATAACCTTACACTTTGTGCCCAGTCGACACTCCCGTTACGAGCAGCCAGCCAGCACGGGGTGAGAGAGAGAGAGCGAGCGAGAGAGTGTCAGCACACAACCAACACCTGCTAGAGAGTGAGAGTGAGAGACGAGTCGAGGCAAAAGGCCACACACTTGACCCTGAACAACATAAAACAGCTGATGACAGGGCTAAAACGAAACGACAAACCGGCAGGCACACCACAAAAGAAGAAAGAGCAGGCGCGCAAATGAGACGGGCGGCAAAAACGGCAACAGCACGGCTGAAAGTTGATGCCCTGCACCCCGCCTGCCAGCCAGCCAGCCAGCCTAGCACTTGCTCTAGACTCTAGGGCTGTAATCAGAAAGGGATGGCGCATGCAGTTCTGCTGTTCTGTTCCTTTAATTTGCTGCCAGTTACAGGGCGAAAGCACACACACACACAGAGACACTGACATACATACATCATTAAATACACACAGCCCGAACCCACCCACCACCCCACACACACACTCGTGCCATTGACTGTTGTAGGAAGGAACCACCCAACCATATTGTAAGTGGAAGCGGGAACCCAACCAAACATATGTTTGTTACCCAACAAAGGACGCACACACATGCACGACATACACACACGTGTTGGCTCCTCGTGTGGCTCGTGTGTTATGTACACACATGCCACCACACCACACCACACCACCGCCTCTGCCACTGCCACTGCCTCATCCAAAGCTCAAGTTGCAAGGAAGAACAGCCACAGCAGCAGAAGCAGCAGCAGAAGCAGCACCAGGCATCGGCATTCAGTCCACATGCTACATACATATGGGAGAAGCACACAAGTCTCTCCTGTTATATACACGCTAATCAGATTAAATGTAGAAAAATCAACTAATTGGAGAATGCAACAGGAAGCAGAGAAGCGACGTGTCCTGGGAGACGTAATCGCACGTTAAGCCGATATTCTCTTTAAAAAAAAAGCTCTACTTAAAAATGGCATTAATGGGTAATGGGTACTGTTTGAGTTCTTATTTTATTCTGACTGCAAATAAATTTTCGATACTATAAAGATAGTATTTCTAGCTTTTAATTAATTTCTTACAAATATAAATACAATTTTTTAAAGTTAGATATTTAAAGTATTTCAAATCCAGGCTGGATCCCAAGATCCTAAGGCAAAACTACAAATGCCACAAATACTTGCCATACACAAATTAAAATATTTTTTTAATGTAATAATACAAATTTACTCGATTAAATAGAATACAAATATATTTTAAGGTAAATACAAACTCACAAAACTATTTTTTAATGTAATAATAAAAACTAACTCGATTAAATAAATTACAAATATATTTTTAAGATAAGTAAAAACTCACAAAAAAATTAAATACATGCCTTATATATTTTTTACAAAAACTAAACTATTTTTTTAATGTAATAATAAAAATTAACTCGATTAAATAAAATAAAATATAAATATTTTCAAAGATAAATAAAAACTCACAAAAAAAATTAAATACAGCCATATACATATATGTTGCACAAAAATTAAACTATTTGTTTAATGAATAATAAAAAACCAATTAAATAAAATACAAATATATTTTTAAGATAAATAAAAACTCACAAAAAAAATGAAATACTTAAAAATGTGTGGTGAACATTCTAAGTATGGGCATTTAGTACATAAATACATATTTATGTATGTAATATCAAATAATAAACATAATTTCTAGACTTTTGCTGAAACACAGCCTATTTCCCTGCCATCACATGACTGTGTCATAAGTTAAAACCAAAAAAACCTTATTAATATACCTAAAATGAGTTTGATTTGCTACAAGAAATGTTATATTAAAGTCTTTTAAATGCGGTTGCTCGAAGATTCTAAGGCAACGGCAATTAAAAATGTGTATGTACATTTATTATTTATACAACGTTGAGAAAGTCTCTTCAGGCTGCCTACTGTTACTTGCAGCTAATTGAATTGAATAGTTTAGCCTTGTACGAGGTCTAGCCGTGACCGTGATGCAGAGAGAGAGAGATACTCGAACCCGGACATGGATGGACATAGAGACATTGGTAGGAGAGCCAGCGCTGGGGCTTCTCTGATGATTACTTAATTGGCAGGCAATTTGATGAATTTCAAATGAGAGGGCCCCCCGTCAGAAGTCGGAAGCCAGGAAGCCACGAAGCCAGAAACCGGAGGGTGGATGGTGGATGGTGTAGGGTGCGTGCTGCATGATGCATGGGGTGCGTAGGGGAGCGTAATGCCATCAAGTATACGTAAGAGTGGCCGTCTAAAATGCAATTACCGGTCGCCGTTTGACATTAAAAACCGATAATTGGCTTCCTCGTCCACGTTTTCTCATTAAAAATACAAGCGAACTTAACGCCAGCGAAACTAAAATCAAAGCTAATGCCATTGCCAATGCCAATGTCAAAACACATTGAAGATTGATGCGAAAATTACTCTGTTTGGCCCTGAACTTTAGCATTTTTTCATGGTCGTTATTTCATCATTTAATTAAGGGGAAATGGGGGGAATTCGCAAGCAAAATCGATGGCAATTAGAGCAGATTTCAATTTCACATCAACGCCGCAGGTGCACAAGCAGAATGGGAGAGAGAGAGAGAGAGTGACAGAGAGAGGTAGAGGTAGAGGTGGAGAGACTGCAACCTGCTGTGGGGACCACCTGTCAACCGACAATACCGACGACAGTCCACAGTCGACATTCTCGTATTTTATTTTGATTAATTTCTGCAATCCTCCGCCCACACACACACACATACACATATACATATGTGACTGTATTGTGTCTGCTCTCCATTCGTTATTCCCTTACACATGCTCGCACATCACACAATATATATGTTATATATGTATTTACGTGTATATCTATCTATGGGAATGTATCCCCATATATTCCGAGAAGTATGCTATGGATGATGATGTTCGGTCTCTTATGTACTCACACTTCCCAGAAAATCCACCAACTACCCGGAGCCGACCCGACCCAACCCGACCCTCCTCAACAGTTCAGTCAAGCAATTACAAAAAGAAAAAAAAAACACAGTTTCGCTGCCCAAAACTTTTAATATAAAGTGGGGCTTCAGTGTGGGCAACTAAAACTTCAACATAAAGAAAAGTATACGAATACGAGTACGAGTGCTCGTGCCCAAACCCAATATTGAGTTATGGTTCCCACCTTCTTGGATCATTCTCCCAAATAAACGAACGAAAATGGAGACTCTTATCCCTTCAATTTTTTAGTCACTTATCTTAGCTCTTGCTTTAAAATGCTACTCTCTCCCTCTCCCTTATTCTACATTACTGCTAACAAAGCCAAATACTATTTGATCTTTAAGATTGAAGGGAAATTTCACAGCGAAAGGTCTTGCTAAGCCGAATGTAATTTCAAACAAGTACGAGTAGTGCCTGAATGAGAAATATTCGTTTGCATTTCAGGCACACAATTCACAGAATTTGTGAATACTTCTGTGAACATAACTCAAGTTTCGTTATTTTATGACTCGAATTTTTTCAGCCGAAAATTAAAGAATTAATTCTAAGGAATGTAGAATAATTAATACTTGACGTTCGACTTACTCTTAAAATTTTTAAATTTAAAAACGGAATGTGGAAAGTACGGATCGTACTAGGAAATCGTGGAAAATATTAATACAATGAATGTAAAAACCAACAAAAATGTTAATTAACAATAATTATATCAAACTTTTTCTATGATCAATTGCGGTAAGAATCAGTAGCAACATTTAAGCTACCAACTTTACACTTTTAGACCACAATGTACATATCAAAATGTAACCTGATTAAATACTCCCAATCGTAGATATCATACGGATAAGTAAATGTCAAAGCTGATCAGTTTCTGATAAAATCTAATTAATCTTCAATGATAATAATAATAATCGAATTTTAATGCTCAACAAAAAATCAAATAATATTCCATAATAATTGCCAATTCCCCTTAGTCAGTGTCCACTGTGGCGCAATATTTTCGGTTTTGCCTTTTCTCTACTTTCATTCTTTCTAGCGGAACGGAACGACGCCAAATCATTTCACTTTCGCACCTTCTTCTTCAGCAGCAGCGGCGTCGCGACGCTTACTACGCAGCAGCGACGGGATGGACCGAAGACGGACGGAAAGCAGAAACAACAACAAAAACACAACACAACACACACACACACATACAATGGATACGCTGTGTGTTTATGTACATATGTATATGTAATTGGATTTTTTTTGCTGCTGCTGCTTTTGCTGCTGCTGCTGTAATATGTTGCGAGTGAATTGAGTAGGGGAAAGGTCTTAAGCTTAGGTTGTAGGGAGCTGGGCACAGAGAAGGTAAAAGTTTCTCTCTCACACTCACCGCTGGTGGCATCGCCTGTGGCGTTGGCAGCGCTGCCGCTAAAACTCTGCAGCATGTTCATTTTTGTTGCTGTTCCTGTGCTGTGCTGAATGGTGGGGGATATTTTGTTTGGGGGGGCACACGCAAGCGGGTGGTTTGTTGCTGTTGCTGTTGGTGTTGGTGGATTGATGATGAAGCGAAGCGTCTGCCTTGCTTTTGCTTTGCTCCTTTTTGCTCCCAGCTGCTGCTGCTTCCCGTTACTTCTGCTTTTGTTGCTCTCTCGGTTACTTTTGGTGCTCTTCCCACTGTGTTTTGTTGTTGCTGTTGCCTTTTGCGCCTCTCTCTCTTCTGTGTGCTTGCTTATGTCGCGTCCTTCTTATGTGGCTTAGTTCTTTGGGCAAATATTTTCGGTTTCTGTTTTGCTGTTTATGCTTGCGACTCTCTTGCTCTCAGCTCCACTCTTCGCAGTATATACATATGTATGTATGTATGTCTGTCGGTCGATGTCTTTTGGTTTTTGTTATTGCTGCCAGCTGCTTTTGATTTTTGCTTTATCCCTTGTAATTATTTTAGCAAAAAGTTGGTATAAAAAAATGTTTCCTATATTTTCGTTGTATTGTTTTTTGTAATTGTTGCATTCCACTATGTTTTACTACGACGCTCACACACACACACACACACACACACAGACGACAGGCTCAGCCGCACACACTCACGCTCACTTATATAAAAAAAACAACAACATTTTCTGATGCTGCTGCTGCTGCATGTGTGTGTGTGGATCTTGTCTGTTGATGCTATGCTCCTGATGCTGATGCTGCTGCTGTTCCACTGCTTGTTCAGCTTCTGCTGCGATTTTTGTAGTAGAAATTCCACACATATGTACAGTGGTTTCTGTCTACACATACATACGCTTGCAGATTGTATTTTTAATTCACATTTTTTGTTTCTCTGCTGCAGTGAACTTCTGGTGTGAACTTTAGTGTTTGTGCCTTTTGTTGCATACTTTCTTGAGCACTCGCTGCTGGCTCACTCGTTCGCTCTCTCCGCCCGCTGTGCAATGATGAAGGGGCTCAGCTCTGTGTGTGTGCGCGCTCGCTGCTGCTGCTGCTACTTCTGCCCCAAAAGTTGGATTGTTGATATTATATCTCAATATATCGATATGAACGATATTTTGTATACGAAAATATTGGTGTCATTTTTGTCGCCAACTATTATATAAAAAATATGAAAACAAATACATATGAAGTAGATTCTTGCACAAAGTTTTGTAAAGAGGCGTACATTTTTGCGTCGATCAATTAAAAGTCAGCGGACAGCTGAGCTCGATAATTCGATATATGTTTGTTATGCAGCACTGGTAGCCAAAACGATAAGCCGCGCGGCATATTTCAAATTTGATTGTAAAACCGAGCGGGAACGTTAAGCCGCGGCAAGGGCCGGGGCGCTACTTTTATATTCGGAACTCAGTCAGTGTAGTCTTATGATTTGTGTTACCAGACTGCTGCATGATTACTTTCTGTCAATCTTTTGGTATCGGGACGAATTGATTTGCTTTTTAATGCGGGAAAATAATATGGGAATAAAATTATATAGAAGTTTTTATTTCCATATACATATAAAAGTACATATGTATTTTAATACATAATAGTGTAAATGATCCACAAGTCAGATCTGTAAGAGCCTTGATGTGAATATCCCTCGACCACTTAAAGATAACAAACGATCTCAATCGCATAAGGACGGTACGGTGCAGCTATTATGTACAAGGATAGCTTGGGTTGGCCTGCACCTGTGAAAGCCATGAAACGCATTGGACCTGCCTCCCACCACTTTGAACTTGCGGAAGGTATAGCATACGGTGGGGGAGGGGAGGGGCAGGGCTGTGTGTGTGTGTGTGTGTCTGTGTTCAGGTGACAACAACGACATCGCCGCAGGTGAGTTGCTGCTTGTTGTTCGCCGCGGAGATCCTTGAAATGTAGATGCCGAAACGCATCTTACCGCTCTGCAGGCGGGAAATGGTTGTGAGAGTCTCCGGCGATCGTTCGCCCGTGCGCTGGTTAATGCAGATCATGTCGCAACGCTGGCAGGGCCCCTCCACCTGGAACTGCACCTGGCCGATGGTCAGCTGTTTGTAGGACAGCTCCTCAAAGGCGGCGCCCGTGTCGATGATGATATTGGCCCGAAAACGATCCACCGTCTCGTCCAGCGACTCTTCGAACTGCAGCGAACGCACAGAGGATCTATTGACCAGCAGGAATTGCGCCTGATTGACCAGACTGAGCTGTTTCTGTTGCTGCTCACCGTTGGACGAGCTGCGCAGCGACGATTGGCGCAGCAAACGCAGCCCCTCCAGTCCGAGATGCTCGCTCAGCCACTGGGCCACCTCATCGCCGCAGTCCAGACCCTCCACGGGCTGGCGGCACACTTTGCTGCGGCAACGCGACGAGTTCTCCGCCTGATCCGCCAGCGAAAGCGGCAGCGAGACAGCAGCGGGCGAGTCGCCAAAGTGCAGCTGCAATTGGTCAGCCCGTATGTGGGGTTTGATCAGGCAGAGTTCGGTGCAGCGCTTCTGGGTGACGGCCATGCCGTTCATGTCCACAATCATCCACTCCCTGTCGTACTGCAGTCCCTGTGCCGTCAGTGGCCAGCTGGCGCCGCCACCCACGATCTTGAAGGCTGCACACGACTTGACCGGATATATGGCCAGCTGCAGGAGCTGCGGTCGCAGCCGCTGGGCCCGCTCCTTCAGTGCCTTGGGCAGTTCGCTCGCCTGCTCTTCGATCAGTTGCAGTCGCTGCTGTGGTCTGGTTGCCAGATAGCTCAGGCGCAGCATTTTCAGCAGCTCATCCACATCCTGGCGTCGGGTCATGTAGCCAAAGGAGACGCGTACGGCGCCGGTGGGTTGGCCATCGATCAAATCAAAGTAGTCGCCACAAATGCGACCGGCACGCTTGTAAATGGCATCCATCATGGCATCGTCCAACTGCAGATAACGCTGACAGGCGCCAATGTTGCAGAAGCAGCCGGTGCGCAGGAGTATGCCCTGCAGGGCCGCCACGCAGGCAATCTCGCCAAAGCCAACAAAGGCGCTTGCATCCGTGCGCACATTGAAGGCCACAATGCCGCCCTGGCGTGAACGCTCCTCATAGCCCACTCTGTTATACAGCTCGATCAGTGGCTGGCCATTGGGATGCTCGAGCTGGCGCAGCTGCTGCTCTAGGTACTGGGCCAGGCCATGGACATGTCGCGATATACGCGCCATGGTGTTACCCGGCACCAGGCGTTCCAGTGACCGAAAGCCCTCGAGCAGTCCCACAATCGAGAGGAACGGCAGTGTTCCGTCCTCATAGCGCTGATGGAAGAGCTCGCGCAGCTGATGGTCCATGGCATGGGGATAGGCATAGTTGATGGTGCCGCCACCAAAGAAGCGACGCTTGCCAAAGGCCTCAGCGCCGCGACGGCTCACCAGCAGGGCACCCACTCCGGTCGGATAGCCAAAGATCTTGTAGAAGCTAAAGCACACATAGTCGGGCTGATAACGTTGCAGATCCAAGGGATTGGTCGCCACAAAGGAGGCGGCATCAAGGCACACATAGTAGTTGTTGTTGTGGCTGGACTCTGCCTCTGTTGCTGCACCCGAAATCCTTCTGCCCGGACCATGGGGCAGACCTTGCTTCTGTATGCCAGCAATGGCCTCGAGGGGCATCTTGTAGCCACTGAAGTTGCACTGGGCCGAAAAGGTCACCAGGGAGTTGTCCAGGTTAGTAGCAGAGGCAGCAGCAGCCGGCGTGGAGCCGCCATTAACTGATGGCACTGATGCCATGCCCCTGCCACTGATCTGCTCCTCCTTGAGCATGTAGATGGCTCTGGCCTGGACCCGCTCGCGCATGCCCAGCACTGAGGTATGATTCTCCTGGCAATAGTGGAAGTTTCCATTACGCCCAAAGTCGAAATTCTCCGCCACCAGCGACAGGGCAGCCGTTGCATTGGCCGTAAATATCACATGATATTCCTGCTCATTCGTGTTGAAGAACTCCAGAACTCTGTGAACAAAATAGAATAATAATAATAGAAATTAAATCGTTCCACTCTCTGACTCCACCCCCATCCTCCCACTCACTTGTAGCGCACCTGATCCACATAGTCGCCGGTTAGGCGGCACGTGTGCGGATTGCAGATGACATCGCGTTGCAGCTGCTCTGCAGCGGCTGCCACTTGACTCTCCGCGTACAAGGTGGTGCCCGCATGATCCAGGTAAATGCTCTTGTTGTCTAAACAAACAACAACAACAATTATTAGATTGTTATCTTCTGATAGAAGGTTAATTTCACCATGGCACCTGCCGTCCCCGCCCGCGTCACTCACTTGCAAGTCTAGTAAATTCTTTATCGATGGCCGCCTGCTCGTCGGCGCTGTATTCCGCTTGATATGACGACATGTCGTGGACTGTTGGTGGCACAACAAATAACACCAATATTTATTTGCTTGCACAAAATTGCCGCAAATTGAATTCGAAGATGCCCTTCGATGTGCGTACATTAGCTATGGCATCAAGTCATTGTGAGATTTAGTTTTGCTTCATTTTCCAGTCGTTGGCATAGTCTGTACTGATAAAAAACCTATGTTTTTTCGTTGTTTATTATTGCTGTTCCGTTTTTCTACATATTTAACAATTATTTTACTATCAATTTAAAATATAAAGAGTATTAACAAACCAACGATGACAACATAAATGTTTGCACTATCGATAATATTCACGGTTTTCGTATTATGCGATAGATCGATGGTTTCAAGCAGTGTTAGCTAATGCGTTGCATTTAATTCTCTTCATTACTTTGTGTGTTTGCATTTATCTACCTAGTCTATCATTTCAATGAAATAATTTTTTCAAATAATTATTAAAATTCGAATTTCCAATCCTTTAGTTTGATTTTAGTCGACCACATCGATAGCCAGCTAATGGAATCTCCAGCGCCAGTCGGAAATACGTGAGCACTGTGCAACACTATTAGCCGATAACATTGTAATATACAACACATATACATATACATGTTGTTTTTATTTCGCAAATTTTAGAAAATATGCCCAGAGAAGAGACGAAATCCCGGCGACACAGTCGGGATAGAAGGAGCAGGAGTGCCGAGCACAAGAGCAGCCGGGACAGGCATCGTGAGAAGGATAAAGATCGGGAGCGTGAACGCGAACGCGACCGAGACACAACGCGTGACAGAGAAAGGGACAAGGAGAGGGAGCGTGAGTGGCGTCGGGAGAAGGATGGCCACAGGGAGAGAAGCAGCAAAAAGCGTCGCTCCGCAACACCACCAACAAAATCAAAATCGCCATTGGCCATGAGCTCCGTGAAGCTGCTGCAGACGCTCGAGGCGCGCCGGCTGCGCGACCAGGAAGAGCGCCAGGCACGCAAGGAGGAGCTGAAGGCCCAGGAGACACCCGAGGAGAAGCGCGCACGCCGCCTGCAGGAGAAGCAGGCCAAGGAGCATCGTCGACGCGAGCGCATGGGCTGGGACAACGAATATCAGACATACTCCAACGATGACAACCCGTTCGGCGACTCCAACCTAACCTCGACCTTCCACTGGGGCAAGAAACTGCAGGTGGAGGGTCTCTCGAATCTATCCAGCAAAACGGTGGAGGTGCTGTCGCTGCAGAAGCAAATGGAGAACCGACGCGAGCTGGAAAAGGTCAAAAAACGACGCCAGGAGCGCGAGCTGGAGCGGCAGGTGCGCGAGGACGATGCCATGCAGCAGCAGCGGGCCAAGGAGGCGGTCCAATTCCGCGAATGGCAGCGCCAAGAGGACCAGTTCCATCTGGAGCAGGCGCGACTGCGCAGCGAGATACGCATACGTGATGGACGGGCCAAACCCATCGATCTGCTAGCCCAATATGTGGCTGCGGGCAATGCACCGCTGGAGGAGTCGCTGGAGATGCAAATGCACGAGCCCTATATGCTGCTGCACGGCCTGCCCATGGAGGAGCTGGAGGATCTGCTGGTGGACATCAAGGTGTACGAGGAGCTGGAGCAGGGCAAGCATATCGATTTCTGGAACGATATGGTCACCATTGTCCAGGACGAACTGCAGAAGCAGCAGAAACTGCACGCGGATGCCAGCACGCTCAATCAGCGACGCGATGGCATCCATCAGAGTGTCGTCAAGGATGTGGCGGACATATTTCGCGGCAAGAACGCCAAGCAGCTGGAGGAGATGCGTGATCGCATCGAGGCCAAGATCAATAGCCGCGCAGACGGCGTCGATATCAGCTATTGGGAGAGCCTTCTCTCACAGCTGAAGGCGCACATGGCTCGCGCTCGTCTCCGGGATCGCCATCAGGCCCTGCTGCGCGAGAAGCTGCTGCTGCTCAAGCGGGAGAACGATGACGAGGCGACAGCAGCGGCTGGTGGCGGCGAGGATCATGCCTCGGCACTGAAGGAGGAGCCAGAGTCCGAGCAGGCAACCGATGAGCCGATGAAGGAAGCTGCCGCCGCACCAGCGCAGGAGGAAACGTCTGCCGAGGAGCAGCGTTCACCCTCCCAGGCAGAAGATGAGACCGAGACCGATGACGAAGAGGATGGACCCTTGCGGGAGCTGCTCAATGCCGCTCGCCTCTACCAGGCCGGCAGCTACAGTCCGGAGTACATCAGGGAGGATGACTTTACCGGGCGTCGGATACAGGCCGGCGATCGCGACGACAATGACGATGGCGCCATGTACGAGGAGAGCGACGACGAGAGCCGCATCCATCGACAGCGTATGCTAATCGTCTGTCCAGAGCGTGTGGATGCCGCATCCTCAGGCAAGCAGCAGCTGTCCGCGCAGGAGCAGCGCATGCGGAACGAGGCGCGCCAAGGGATGCAGGGCGATGAGGCCGAATTCAGTGTGGAGACCACACTGGATGCAGTGCCCCAGCTGGCCACGGACAAGTATCGGCCGCGCAAGCCGCGCTACTTCAATCGCGTGCACACGGGCTTCGAGTGGAACAAATACAATCAGACGCACTACGACATGGACAATCCGCCGCCAAAGATCGTTCAGGGCTACAAATTCAACATCTTCTATCCGGATCTGATGGACAAGTCACAGACGCCGCAATACTTCCTCACACCCTGTGCGGACAATGGAGACTTTGCCGTGCTGCGCTTTCACACGGGTCCCCCCTACGAGGATATCGCCTTCAAGATTGTCAATCGGGAGTGGGAGTTTAGCTACAAGCGGGGATTCCGCTGCCAATTCCACAACAACATCTTTCAGCTGTGGTTCCACTTCAAGCGCTATCGCTACCGTCGCTAATCCATGCTATATATTGCTTTCTTTCTTTTTGTGTTTAATTTAAGAATAAATCTACCACACACTCCTCATGTATGCAAATCACATTAAAATGCAATCTTTGATGGGTGCCGCTTGGACCGTTTCTAGGGGCTGGCCGCTCTCCGCCCGCTGTACCTGTTTGAGCACACTCTGGTGGTCGGGAAAGGCGAGGGTGGCCAGCTTGGAGTGCACCAGCTGCTGGTCGATGGTCACCTCAAAGGCGCCGCGCCTCCCCTGATGACAGTGGACTTCCAGTTCTCCTCCGGGTACGGCTGCCTCCATTAGGAATTGGCGCAGCAGATGGCACTGCAGCTTGAAGTTGCAGACACCGCTGCAAGGGATTCCAGAGTGTCAGCAGCAGCTCATGGGATGGCTGGGCCGGCTCTTGTCCATGGCGCCGCCACATATACCTACCAGTATTCAACATCCACTTTGACCATTGCATAAAATGCAAAATTTCAATCAACAATTGGCCAAAGAGCGCGTAATGAGTTGCCAGACTGTTCGAGATTTTAAATTGTATTTTCTTGCGGAACATGTCTTGGGAGCAGTGATGCCATTTTAGCTTATTTAAGGCTAAGCCTAACTAGCTTTTTTTTTAATGGAAAATTTCTCATAAAATTCTTATGCAAAATGGCAGTTGTATTCTCCTTTGGTGTATATAGATTCTGGCTAAGTTTTAGCTTTTTTTTATTATCGGTTTCAGTCATTTATAGGCTAGAAAGGCTGTTGGAAATGTTCGTTATGTATGCTAAGTATTATAGCTAACAAGCAGCAACTGAAAATATAGCTTTTTCCTGGTTATCTCTCTAAGGTGCTGCCAGACCTCTCCAATGTGGTTTTAAATCTAACTGTTTATGCTTGTTTTAACAAATTATCATTAAATTATTAAATTTTGGGACCATGTGTGAAAGTTGAAAGAAAGAATGAAATATTTTTGACTACAAGAAGTTTTATATCGAGATCTTGCCCAGTCTTTACTTTTACTTCTTGTCCTCCTCCTCCTCCTCCTCCTGATCCTCTTCAGTGTCTAAATCGCTGTCGCTGTCGGTGTCGGTGTAGGTGTCGCTGTCGGTGTCCTTTTTGTTGCGCTTGGACATTGGCTTTATCTTTGGTTTGACAGCACCATGTTTGCGATAAATACTTTTCTTGGAGGCGGAGGACTTGCCTTTCTTTACCTTCCTTACATTCTTCACCGTGCAGCGACCAGGGGCTATGCTATGTAGTTCTTGTACAGTGGAAGGAGTTTTGTCAATTAGTTCCAGTGAACCCATCTGCACTGCCACAACGAGTGCGGTCTCAACGGCTAGACGCTCCTGTACAGTCAGGGGACGCTCGACAATTTTGGCCGTTAACGCCAAAAGTATCTCATAGGAGACAGGTTGGTTGACAATTTTAATCATTGTGTTCATTGCTTCAACCAAGTCGTCAAAACTGTTTGGGTGCGGGGTTACGAAAAAATGAATGGATCACACAGATGATTAGAGTGCTTACAGCGACATGTCGAATGGAACCGAATTGTCACCTTCGGGATCAGCCATCATCAGACTTGTACAATTGCTGAATATATTCGGAAAATAGTTTGAGACGAGCGACAGTTAGATGTGAGCTGAATTTCAAATGGGAGAATGTACGACAATCTCTATGTGTTCCATAGCACCTGCCTACTTTGGACGCAGTCAATTGTGGGAATAGGGCAAACGTTTGGGGGGTCCAGGTTCTACAGGGTTGGGATCCTCCTGTTGCCAGCAACAACATTAATGGGTAATATTATGAGTAAGCCAGAAGGCAGGCAGGCCAGGCAGCACGAAGCGTGGAATACTGAAATTCGAGGATGAAAATTTCGATTTGCGAATGGGCAATTCAGAGAGCTTAACAGAATAAATACAGGCACATGTGTGACAAGTGGAAAACGGAAAGAAATATGCCTCAATATGCCAATCCATTCGACAGCATTATCAGCCATCTCTGGCTGGGTTAAGTACGGCTACGGGTTGGGTTGGTGTGAGTGTTCTGCCTGTAGATTGCCTTCCCTACACGCTTAGCACTTGTTGAATCTATTGTGTGGGGGGGGGGTGGGACACAAATGTATTCTTAGCATTAAATGGAGCCAAGGGAGAGCCTCCAATCTCTCTCTCCCTCTCTAGTCGGGTGTCAGAGGTACAAATCTCCCTTTAGGTTTCTTTTTTTTTTTAGAAATTTAATCAGCATTTCAAATGCATTTGAGGCATTAATACGAATGTGTAAAGTCCCTGCCTTGGCCGCTCTAACCCTTGTTGGCCCTGGCCCTCAGCAGCGTCTTGCAGGCGGCATTGTGCGTCTTCAGCGGCAGTTCATCTGTGCAGCAGAAGATAGAAGAGAGTTCAGTCCGCAGCGCATTCAAATAGCTTTGGTGTGCTTTTACTTACATATCTTGTGATCACCCTGGACGGGCAGTAGGATTTGCAGCTGTTCCGGCTTGCTGCAGACAAACACATAGGGACTATCGGACTCGCCGCGCGGATAAGTGTCGCGATATTCCTCCTGCGGCACACAATTCTCCACATGAACGCAGCCCAGCAGGCTGCTGGTGGGATAATGCTCGGGGAACTTCATATTGGGATCTGTGCGAGAGGGAAGCAGATGAGAATCCTGTGGGGGGTGCGAACTGAGAGCTGAGAACTGAGCTCACCCTTGTAGTGGAGCCGATAGAACTCCTCCATGTGGGCTATCTCCTCGGGATGTGGCTCTTTGGACGTCGCAGCGATCCACAAACGACCGCGATGCTCGCTGTACCACACGCGTCCCTCGTGCCTGCCACAAAGAGAGAGAGAGAGAGAGATTCATGGATTCAAAATGGATTTTGCTTAGTGGCTAACGCCACTCACTTTTTGATGCCCGCAACCAGCAGCGAGGCCCAGGGCTGATGCATTGACATGCACTGTCGCATATCCTGCATCTCGAGCAGCTCCTTGTCCTGCACACGATTGTAGATGCGCTCCAGATTATCGCTCGCTGCTGGAGCCGCCGGCCAGTTCTTTAGCTCCTTGCTCGGCCGATAAACGGGCGGCTTGGCCATGCCCAGATTGGGCGCCAAGGCCATGGCCGAGTGGCCCGTTAGGGACGTAGATTTGCCAGCCAGCAGACCATCCGCCTTGCTGATGGCCGCCAAATCCTGAATTATCTGCTGCTCGTACTCCTTGCTGACGGGCAGCTCCTCGGGCACCTCACGTCCCGCGAAATCCACCTTAATCTTACGCGTCAGCCGACTGCCGTGCTTCAGTTCATGCATCTCGCTCTTGAGCCGCTCGTACTTCTCCCGCTCGATGTCGCTCAGCCAGACGGAGTTCTCCTGAAAGTAGTCCAGCTCGTCATCGATGACTGTCGTACGCTTCTCGCTGTTCCGATCGTACTCCAGCAGGCGATCCCGCTGCGCGATGGCCTTCTCCAGACCATCGCCAGGCTTATGGCTGCTGCTGCTGCTGCCACTGCTCGTGGCTTTGTTCTTCTTCGACTGCTGCTTGCTCGGCTTCTGGCCACTGATGTTCGCTGTCTTGGTCAGATGGTTGCTCTTGGATGCATCCTTGGCCAGCTGCAGCTCCTCGTCGGGCGTGTGAACGGGACAGCCGCAAAAGAGGCACGGCCCACTGCCCTCCTGCTCGCACACAATGCGGCCACAGGCGAGGCAATTGTTGATCAGCTTATGCTGCGCCGCCTGGCAATCGCAGTGGCGGCGTCCCTTCAGCATAATGGTGTCTCCCTGCAACCGGCCATCGGTCGCATACAGATTCACATATTTCGTTTGCTTACCCTTGGCTCCGCCACCGCCACCGCCACCGCCACTGGTAGCAACACCGGCTGGCGCTTTTTTATGCATTATTGGGGATTTGTTTGGCATTTGTTTGGTCGGTGTGCCGCCCTTGCCGTTGTTGCGCGCCTGTTTGCCACTCAGCAGCATGCGGCGGCAATTGAGCAGAAAGAGGCGATGCTCCTCGTTCTCCTCGCACAGCAGATTACCAAAATAGTTATCAAAATCGTAGTCATCCTTGATCTCCAAGATGGCCCTATGGAGAGAAAGGAAACCCTTTAGTGTGGCAGGAAAATGGGAAGGCAGCCATGGCGGTGCACTCACTCCATCATTTTGTCGGTGACCACGCAGTCCAGGCATTTGGATAGCGTGTCCCGTACCCAATTTTCCATGTTGCAACGATTTCAGATTGCCAAAAAATGTGAAATGACAGCAAATTTTGAAAACGCAAGCAAAATCGAACAGCTGTTGGCAGCAGTGTTGGGTTAGCACTGGATGTGGCAGTGCTCTAAGCCGTGAACAATAGTCCGCAGCAAAGAGAGCAGCAAAGCGCTGATCCGGCAACGCCGCCGACAACAAAACGCGCTGCTGCTGCTCTGCTCGCTCTGCCCGAACCGAACTGTGCTGTGATCTTATACTAAATTAAACCGTGGCTTGCGTGAAATCCGTGCTGTAAATAATATTATGTGTGCCAGCCGCGGCAACGGCCATCGAAACGGCTTCGTCTACCAATTGTGTTAATAAAGAGAAAGTCAACGTTCAGGTATTAGGCGAGAGAGTCCTCAAATAACAACAAAAGCACCAACAACAGCGTCAATTTGATGAAGCAGCAGAGTCAGTGGCAGAGGCAATGACAGAGACAGACAGAGAGAGCAAGAGGCAGTTAGCTAAAAAAAAAACAGAAAAAAACCAAAGAGCAAAAAAAAAAATCAAAGCGACGCCTCAGTTTCCTCCTGTGCCGCAGCAACCCAACAACCACCCCCTCTTGGGTCTTTACCATTCTGTCAGCTGTAACTGTAAAATAGTGAGAGAGAGGAAAGAGACCGACCCCCCACACACCGCTTCGCACCTTACCGTATAGCGACCAGCAGCGACAGAATATTTTTTGTTCACTTTTTTTTTATTGTTCATGGACGAACGGTACTTCTGGCATGCTAACGGTATATTCCGTAATACGTCCAAATTGTTTTAGCAAACGTATTGCAAATATTGCGTGTGCGCCTATTACTGTGCTTGCTCTCCTTTGCTCTCTCACTCCTTCCCTACTGTATTTGAGTGACTGTGTATGTGTGTGTGTGTGTGTGTTACTTGCAGTTTATGCAGTGGAGCATAGTCGTGATCAATGCGTTGAAGGAAATTCCCAGCTGAAATGCGATGCAAAGCAAATAAATCTCATTGTCAGTCCCTTAATCAAATCTATGACAAAGTTCCTGTTTTTGGAACACATTATGCCTGTGCGTGTTTTAATCGTCAATAAAATACAGCGAAAAGAAAATTGTCTATACTGGCACGCAAAAGCGATAGCATAACGGATGCAAGCGTTTATGGGAATTACCAATAATTGATATATATTTAATAGAAAACTGAAGAAATTCCTTCGGACCAACAACGCATTAATGGTTCCGCATAAACGTTCCTGTAAATCTGTATGTGTGTGTGTGCCTCTGTCTGCTGCTCTTCTGCTGATTCCTTTTCGTGAACGGTACGCGGTGCCGCAGTCACAGCGTTGTTGTTTTTGCATTAAAATTGTATTTACCGTTTCATTTTGTGCATCCAGTTCTTTAAATTGTACTTGTGTGCGTGTTGTAAACCAACCAAAAATAGCAATAAACAATAACAATGCAGCCGCATAACTGACGTCACAAGAGAGGCAGGAAGCGAGAGCGAGCGTGCGCGCGTTTGCCACTGTGTGAACAACTGTAAACCTCAACCGGCAAAACCTCAAAAACCGAACAGCTGTGTGCCTCCTAAAACAAAATCAAAAAGCAACAACAACAACCTTTACAATCTCGCATAAGCAATATAAAATAATCATAAAGACAAAAACAAAAACACAAACATAAAAAATAAAAACTAATTTGTTAAAATGTATCGCATCGGTCCAATTGGACGGAAATCAAACTTCCATTCGCGAGAGAAATGTCTGATTGGCCTCGTCTTGGTCACCCTGTGCTTCCTCTGCTTTGGCGGCATTTTTCTGCTGCCGGATAACTTTGGTGGCGATCGTGTCCTCCGCGTCTACAAGCACTTCCAGAAGGCCGGTCCAGAGATATTCATACCCGCCCCGCCTCTCGCCGCCCATGCCCCGCGCAACGAGGATCCGCACTTTATGGGCGATCGCCAGCGGCTAGAGCAAAAAATTCGAGCAGAATTGGGCGACATCCTGGATGAGCCACCGGCAGCGCAGGCAGCAGCAGCAGCAGCAGCGGGTGAAGCGGGAGCATTAAACGCTGATGCAGCCAATGTTCAGGCCCCAGCCCCCGCTGCGGCGCTGGATGAGCAACTGGAACAGGAACGGGCGGAGGCAGAGGATGCCCGCCATGTGGCCGTTCCTGTGCTGGCGGCTCCAGCACAGGGCGACTCTGGCACAGTTGCCACACACAACAATCCCGCCCAGCAAATCATCCAATTGCCCATGGGAGGGGGTGGAAATGAACAGGCGCCGGACACTGTGGACGCCACTCTGGAGGAACGACGTCAGAAGATTAAAGAGGTAAGTGCCGCCAGCATACATATTGTATAACAAGGCGCACCCCTTGGACTACGCCTCTGTTCATTCCCTAAATCTCTGTCTGGCTTCACCCCTCTCCCTTTCTCTCTTGCTCCAATTTGGAATTTCTTGTTAATTTTTGTTG